TGGATGATGATGATCATATTGTAAAAAGGTGGTTGATGGGATTGGAGCTAAAGAAATCGGCGGCGTTGGGGGTAAAAACCGGAATCCCTCCGATATAAGGATTGGGCGGCACAAAGCATGAATTCATCTGAACATGCCCATCCCCTCCTCCTCCTACGCCTGCGCTGACCCCTACATTAATATTACTATTATTATTATTATTATTATTAATATTTGTGCTGCTGCAATTCTCCTCCGTCGTGATCACCGACGACGAGTCGTTATCCTCGTTTCTCATCACAACCTTGGCACCCTTACCACTCATCATCTCCTCCTCCATCAAACCGTCCCCCCTCTCGGCTTTGGTCGTCCTCGGCGGCTGCTGCTGCTGCAGCGGCGGCGGCAGCCCCACTTGTGCATCTTCGTCGAAGCGCGAGAGGCCCGTGAGTTTCTGCACCAAAGCCATGAAATCCCGCGGATGCGTGTGTATGATCTTGGGCGAATGCGTGTAGATAATGACCGGTTGGCGCTGCTGCTGCTGCTGTGGCGGCCTCGCACCAGCAGATCCCGCCACCGCGTTCACTAGTGATGACGTGGACGAGGAGGCGGACGAGGACGGGGAGGAAGAGGAGGAGGAGGGCGATTTCTTGATGAAATGGGAATCCTTATTGATCTTCAATGAGGGAGGCGGATACAAACCGTTATTATTATTGTTATTGCTGTTGATGATCACGTTGACATCCCTTTTGTTGGTTGCATGTGGGCTCATTGTAAATATATCAAAAATATGAATTTGGCACTTGGGGGGACACTTTTTTTGTGCGCAAGCAAAGCAAAGCGCATGCAAAGGCCTCTCAAAAGTACAAGAAATAAGATGAGGGTGAAATATATATAGGCATGGGAATTTGGAAAATAAAGGAAACGTACGTGTGCTCAAGAGGGTGAAGCCTTGCTCCTATTTAGGTGGGATTGGTTGAAACAAATTTAGAGGGTAGAATTTGAAGGAAGCTCCGTACTCGAATCAAATGTATCGTGATCATGAATCGAGTGCGGGCGTGCCTATGATTGGATGAGTGGAATTGGCTCTCTTGTTTTGCCATGTGTGCGTTTGGATATATGGATTTAAAATGTGTGTGCTGGTGGTTTCCGACATTGTGGGATTAGGCCAATTGAGGTGTGCCAGATGGGATGACCGTTGAGATATGTATGGGTTGGGAGGTGAGGTGTTGGAATCTGAGGGCTTATCGGTGGAGCAGTTGGAGTTTTTTTTATTTTTTTTGAGTTCATCTTTTAGGAAGCTGGGCGCAAAGGCAAAGCAGCAAGATGTTCTCGTGTTTCTTAGGTAGCTCTCTGCCTCTTTCTCTTTACGAGTCGCATGATGTTGTCATCCATTTACACGTTTTCCATGCATTCAAATCTCATCTCCCACTTGGAAACGTAGATTAGACTAATTAACCAGTGAATCCGTCTCTTTGTACCTAAATTCGAGTCGTATCTCTCACTTTACACTCTACTTAATGATATGGTGGGATGGGATACGCTTACCGATCCAATATTAATATATGCCCAAACGCCCCTTGTATGAAAGCTTGGACTTTCAACCCAAAAGGAAAAAAGAAGAAGGCGGCTTGGACTGTCCAAAAGCAAAAGCTAGAGGAGACTCTTAAAATTGGTTGTGGTGCTAATTAGAAGGTGGTTTCAATTTTCTTAGTTAATTAGCAAATGCGTGAAAAAGAGAAGAAAATACATTGCCATCTATTTCCTTCCTGGCAACAACTCCTCCTACAAAAAGACTGCTTAATTAAAGTTTTTGGTGTCCAAATGGTTAAGGCTAATTCTTTGACCAAACCGCAGTTCTGTCAATAGCTAGCTATCTATCTAAACAGCACAGGATTATAAGTCAATCCTCTCTATTCCATTGGGCCTAAGGCGATGGCTTTAAACAATAAGACTTTGTGAAAACAGGGCTGAGGTGAGGGCTGCATGCATGAGAATGGGATGGGCCAATTAAATTTCTGCTGGTGTTCACATTAATTCATGTGCCTAAGTACTCAGTTAATTACGTGTACAAGGAGAAGGAATATAACCGACGCATATACGAAATGAAGCTAGTGCCAAGCTGTAGTCCATAGTTTCACATAGTTGATTGAGTCTATATATATATATATATATATATATATATATATATATATATATATATATATATATATATATATATATATATATATATATATATATATATATATATATTTATCCGCACTTAATTTAATCTCATCATCACAGTAATCTAATAATTCAATAAGTTTATCTATGATCTTCTAGTGCTGATCAAACATCAGTCAATTTAAAAGATGAGTGGGGAATATCTCATCTCATCGTCCCCCACAGTGATGATTTCATTCATATAGGATACAGCTAGTGCTGATAAAACATCAGTCAATTCAAAAGATGAGTGGGGAATATCTCATCTCATCATCCCCCACAGTGATGATCGAACCGTAAACTTGATGATCTCATGATGATGACGATGTAGTTTTTTTTTAAAATTTATATTTCTTCTTTTTAGTGTGCCTACTTTGACTCATATTTGAATTTAATGAAATAGATTAATCCATCACCAGAATGAGAGATATAAAGTTGAAACGATGCCCGTACGTACCCCACTCCCTCATGTTCACACGCTGAAATTGGATAGATATCTGATTTTGTAACAACAAACATTACCAAATCATTATTTTATGTTAAAATCATTGTTAATTATTGTCACTATGAGTCTATGACATGTGCTTCTAGAGAACTCTTAAAAAATAAAAGTCTAGGTCTTTGGTGTGTCTGTTATTTAATTAAAAAGTTAATTTTTAATAAATATTGTATCATCCTTGTAAAGTATATGTGAATATGTTGCAGTGATCAATCACTTTCTCTAATCTAGTCTTGACCCATAGAATAAATAAAATTACAAATAATAAGGATGGTAAGGATGGTTTTTTTTTTTGGGTTGAGAAATTATGTGATTACATTCATAATTCAGTCAAAAAAGTCAATAATTACAAAGGGCCATCACAATAACGGAGCAATCTAACATCAAAATTAAGGCAATCTAGTGTGCCCCTATTAATGATCATGCAAAATCGAAGAAACTCTGACATAGGCATCCAAACTAAAATTGCAAACTCATAATAATAAAAAAGATATAAAGTTCGAAAAAATAAAGCCATAGTTTATTTCTATTAATTTTTTTTTTGCCAAAGTTAAGAATGAGGAGGGGGAACACTATCATGGGGCCTTGAACCCAAGAGCACTTGAGAGCACAATAAAAACATGAGCCAATCCAACTAACACCCCATTGGTAGGTTTAAATGTCTCTTTATAATCACTTTCAACGAGTGACGGTTCTAAATTTCCCAAAAAATACATGATGTGCCATTTTTAAGCGGTATATGCATATTCTCGATTGGGAACACATATTCTTGATTGTTGCACCTTACTATATAATCATTTTGCATATTATGTTTGCAATTTATTCAATTGCCATCTTTATATTCTTTTATATTAATTCTCAATTGTAACCAATTTATGCCTCACTTTTTAAAATGTTTTGTTTCCCATAAAGTTTTATTTCTTTTGATACATGCAATATTCTATTTTAATTTAATCAAATTATAGGGATTTGAACTCCTGTGCAAAACAAGGAGCACATCCACTTTAACCAATTTGATTAAGCCCGTATATATGCAGAATAAAGTTGAAGGTTGACACTAACTTAATTATTGCTTTGTGTGGGGGGGGTAGGTGGCTAAGTTGTCTTTGTCTCTTGCACCACCGAACAGCGATATTTAAGAATCAAATTAAATTAGATATTTTCCACGATTCCTGAACTCAAATTGATTAGTCTGAGACGCCGAGGTTTATAGCCAGCCAATCTCGTCTGACTTGCTTATTATTATTTTTTAGTCGCACTTGATTATTATTAATTTACTTCCCTAATATTTTTTTTAAAATATTTTCCCATTTTATTTAAGGTGAGGGAATAATAATCATGTGAAAAAAAGTATGATTGACCATGGTTTGTGCTGGTCAATGGGGTTACACAAACACAGATTCCAATGCTCTTTGGTCCTAGAAGTTGGAAATAAAAAGGAACTAGTAAAAGTAAAAACTTAAAATAGTTGGTGTCCCATGCAAAGAGACAAACACACCCACCAAATCTAGATCCATGGATTTCAGTTCAGACCGTACGGTCAAGGGAAGGGGGCGTCAAGGAGTTTACACAAACGCTAATTTGCTAATTTGCGCGTGTAACACACGATCCAAATCGCATCCCAGAAGTACCTATGGTTGAATAAATACTTCGACCCCTTCGTTGAATTGTCCCGTTCTGGAGGTATGTGAGTTTACACCAAAGTATAATCTGCGCATGCAATACACAATCCTATTGCTTCTCAGAGAAATGTAAACTTCCCTGCCTTCGTTGCATCGCCCCATTTTTCCTATTTGTCTCATTCTTTAATAAATGACATGAAGAAATAGATAAAAAGGGGTTGACAATGCATCGGAGATAAGGAAGTTTTTCTCATGTGGTTTGCTCCCACTTCTGGAGCCGAATGCTGCCACGTATGAAAACAACAAATGGTGTTCCACATAAATGCAGAGACTGGGTTGTAGGTAAAGTGGAGTTAGTCCAGCTTCATCGTTCAATGCCCAAAGTGCCAACCAGTTCTGACAAGTACACTGCCTATACACTCCACCAGGTCAAACCAAACGCGCGCATCAAAAGAATTGGTATAAGCACATTATCAGATTATTATCAACCGTTGGATCACTCCAGCATCAGATTCATAATCCAATTAAGCGAAGTAGATTCTTCTATTTTTCTTAGTGTGGGTCCCGCCCAGCCTACCAATCAGAGAGCCACAGGAGTAAAAGACGGGTTCTTGGTGGGGCCCACATGGATAAGCGGGGACCAAAAGCGCTTTTAAGTTTCTATAAGCTACGGTTATACGGACAATTTAGCCAACGCTTCGTTTCATAGTTGTTAACTAAAAAATAAAAGTTGGGCTTTTCTCCTCCGTGTCCCTGGCTTGACTTTTCCTCTCTTTCTTCTCTCTCTAAAAATGGAAAGGCAAAGACAACTGCTTCAGATTTCTTTCTCAGCTCTTTCACCGTTTAAGCTTCTTCAACTGGCAAAGTATCTGAAACACTGAATATATATTCTTCAACCTTGTCTGTTTTCTCATAAAACCAAGTCTAAAACTGATCAGAATTTCTTTTCCCTTTGTGGGTTTATTCTCTTCAGTGCTTTTTCTTAATAAAGGATGAGACTTGGGAGGTTCTAGTTGTTATATATATGTAGAGTGAGAGAGAAGAGAGAGAGAGGAAAGTAAAGTCTGAGATATCTGGATGCCTGCTCAAATGAGTAGAAGAAAAGGGAGAGGCTTGAGCGTCGAGGATGCTGTTGAGTTCTTCAACTATGTGATGGAAGAGAAGCCTTTTCTTCCGTTTTTGATACCTCTGGTTTTGTTTGCTTGGGGTATTGAGAGATGGGTCTTCTCTTTCTCCAATTGGGTTCCACTTGCCGTTGCTGTGTGGGCGACTATACAGGTTTAATTTGCTTCTTCTGTTTTATATTTGCTGGTTATGTAAGTCTGGAAGAAAGAATTGATAGGTCAATGTGACTTTTGGTCTGGAGTTTTGAAGTGTTTTACTTCTGCTGGCTGGTTTTATTGTTTGTATTATAGTTCTCTGTCAATTGGTGTTGTGACTCTGTTCCTTTTGTTTTCTAATAGAGTCTTGTAATTTTAAGTTCAAGGCAGTTCGTCTGTAGAGGTGGGAATCTGATCATCCCTTTTCAAGATTTCCATTGGCTCATAAATTATATGGAATTTAGAATTTATCCATGGTTGTGATTTATTTTCATGTATTACTGATTAGTGCCCATCATTTTCGATTCTGTTTTGTTTTAGCAACTGTTCCTGTTCTGTTGCGTTTCACGTCTGAATACTTTGCACCTCAATTTTACTAAAAAGATGCGTGAAGTTGTTTCCTTATTCAGTCCAAATAAAGTTGTTTCCTCATGTTGAGATGTAATGTTTTTCCAAACTGATGAATTAGGACTTTGAAGAGATTATATTGAAGATGGTCCTTTTTATAAGTATGATAACTATTGGAAACATACTTGTATGTAACATAAGCTGTCACTTATTCTATCTGCAGTATGGGAATTATCAGCATCGGATACTGGTTGAAGACTTGAACAAGAAATGGAAGAGGGTCATACTGAACACCTCGGTACTGTATTTGTTCTCATTTTTTTCCCTTTTCTTGTATGAAATTTTAGCTTATCAAAGCTGAATTTTCTCTTTGTGATCCTTTTGATTTATATAGCCCATTACTCCACTGGAGCACTGCGAATGGCTGAATAGGCTACTGATTGAGACATGGCCTAACTATATGAACCCAAAGATTTCAATAAGATTTTCATCCATTGTTGAGGTGAGAATATTCTTGTCCTTTTATTTGATATCAGGCTAAATATGGTTTTTAAGATTTTCACTTATGCCTAGTCAATGTCTGAATGTTCTTGCGGAGCAGAAAATTTCAGATACTCCTTGATTGTATATTTTCCTAAATGTCATTTGAATTCAGTTACTGAATGCTTATAATGCTGAAAGAAGTTTTGGTCATTATCGTTGCCATTTTCTGCTTTTAATAGGACGTCTCAGTTTGTCCATTGAACATGCACAGAGACAAATTTTGTCAATGGATCAAGCTAATTGTGTAAGTTTCTTTTGTGCAGAAACGGTTGAAGCACAGAAAATCAAGGCTTATCGTACGTAATCTATTCCTTTGTTTGTTTATAAAAATTTGAACCTTTGAATTCATCCGTACTGTATGGTATACTTGATGAGTAACTAAAGATTGACCATTTTTCATGTAGGAAAGAGTTGAATTGCAGGAGTTTTCATTAGGTTCATCCCCGCCTAGCTTGGGCCTCCATGGGACTCGTTGGTCCACTTCAGGTGATCAGGTTTGGTTTCTATTTTATTTATCAAACTTTACTGAGCATGATTCTTATGTAGTGTTTTGTCTTGAACTATACTGTTTTACATCTGCTGAGTGGTTCATATTTATTCTTGAAGCAAGGATATTGATATATCAGTACCAAATTCCTGACATCTTTGTATACGTTGTCTATGCTCATTTTGACAGAGAATCATGCGTTTGGGTTTTGACTGGGATACAAATGATATGAGCATTTTGTTGCTTGCAAAGCTTGCCAAGCCATTTATGGGTACTGCACGGATTGTTATAAATAGTCTCCACATCAAGGGTGATGTACGTAAAGTAGCCCCCTTTTCTATTTTTCTCATACAGTTCAGCTTGAAAGGATTCTATCAAATGAAACTAGTTACATAGACAGGCAGACATGCATTATTTATTCTTGGTCAAGATTTCTGATATGTAAACTTGTTCAATGAAAACTACAGATCATTGGGTGCAGTCTTCCTGTTATGTATTTTGTAATACCGTATTTAAAGGGAATTCTGTGATCGTAATGTCATATTTCTACTAGTCTACAATATTCTACTGTTTATGAAGGCACTGATTGTTTAGGAAGCAGTTTCAGTTTTCTTTTTTGGGTAGTTATTTATCCACTAAATTGCCTTTTGCAGCTTCTCCTGATGCCGGTTTTGAATGGGAAAGCGATTTTGTACTCATTTCTGTCAGTTCCTGAAGTGAGGATAGGAGTTGCCTTTGGAAGTGGTGGAAGCCAATCGCTGCCTGCTACAGAGCTTCCTGGCGTTTCTTCTTGGCTGGTTTGACTCCTAAGCATGAAAGTTGATTTGTACTGCATTAACTTAAGTTCAGCTGACTTAATTCTCTAGAATTTGCCTCCTTAAAAAGATTATTCAAGACTTTTTGGTACTAATTTGATAACCCTATCTACGAAGCTTCATTCCATGAAATGGTCATGGAAAGCTCCTGCTTCTATAATCTTTGGTCTAATCATTATTCTATCACCGGGACCATCACAATGGTATTTTTGTCTCTAAGAAACTGTATCATGTTCATACGTTAGTCTTGCTGTAAATAAACATACGACCTTATATTATTGAAAATTTAGATGGTCAAAACCATGCATCTAGCTACATTTTCTTGCAAAGCTTGATAATTTGACAAATAATATATTGCTTTCTCTGCAGGTTAAACTTTTTAGTGACACCTTAGTTAAGACGATGGTTGAACCTCGCCGACGTTGTCACACTATGCCAGCTGTAAATCTAAGGAAAAAGGCCGTTGGAGGCATTATATATGTGACAGTCATCTCAGCAAGTAAACTTTCTAGGAATGGTTTGAGAGGAAGCCCATCCAGAAGGCAATTTGATAAAAGTTCAGAAGAGCAGTTTGTTGATAAAGATCTGCAGACATTTGTGGAGGTTGAACTTGAAGAGTTAACTAGGAAAACAGGTGCGAGGATGGGCTCAAACCCTAATTGGAATTCGAAATTTAACATGGTGTTACATGAAGAAACAGGAAATCTTCGATTCCATCTATATGAGTGTACGCCAAACAATGTGAAGTATGACTATCTGGCGAGTTGTGAAATTAAGGTACTATCCTTAAGATGCAAAATTTAATTATTTTCAAATTATAGTCATGGTCAGTAAAATGATATGTAGTCTTTGTTTCTTGGTGGTTTTTGACAAGTGCTTTTTGAGTTACAGTTTGACATGCGAAGCTGAAAAATGTGCTTAAAAACTTTTGTTGAGTGTTGTTCATGTACTGTATTTCCTAAGCCTGTACTAGGGTTAAATTTATTACCAAAAAAGGGATACAATTTCCATTCCAAATTTCCAATAGAGTTGTTTTGGTTGAAAAGATGAAATGTTAATTATGCTCCTCATTTTCGAGAAGTGACTTAAACTTATCCATGAATTTAACGCAATAAACACATGACAGCTAGCCAATAATGCATAAAAAGTGTTTTTCCTTACAGAGTCTCAGTATATATTCTCTGCACAGAAGTCAACTACTTGTTGAGTTTCAACTAAGTTGAATTGTTCTTCCTGTGAGCAGATAAAGTATGTTGAGGATGATTCAACAATATTCTGGGCAATAGGACCTGACTCTGGTGTGATAGCAAAGCATGCTGAGTTCTGCGGAAAAGAAGTTGAATTGGTTGTTCCGTTTGAGGGGCTCAATTCAGGAGAGGTAACATTTTTAAAGTTTTATGACTGATTTCTATATCCCTTGTTTTTCTTTAATTTTAACAAGTTTTTACTCAATGCATCATATAGTTGACAGTGAAGCTTGTCCTAAAAGAATGGCAATTCTCTGATGGTTCACACGTGGATAACTCTCTTGTTAGCTCACGAAGATCACTTTTTGGGTCATCAAATTTTCTACCAAGAACTGGAAGGAAAGTGAACATAACTGTTTTGGAAGGAAAAGATCTTGTTTCAAAAGACAGATCTGGAAAGTGCGATCCATATGTTAAATTGCAATATGGAAAGGTAGATTTTTCTCTTCCCTTCATAATTTCCTTGGATGTGCGAATTAAAAATTAACATTATAAACACCATATATGCCTAATTAAAAATTAACATTATAAACACCATATCTGCCTGGTAACCTTCTTTTCAGATTCTCCAAAGAACAAGTGCTGCTCATGCCTTGAGTCCTGTCTGGAATCAGAAGTTTGAATTTGATGAGATAGGAGACGGTGAATACCTGATGATAAAATGCTACAATGAAGACACATTTGGTGACGACAGCATCGGCAGTGCACGAGTTAATTTAGAGGGACTGGTAGAGGGATCAATCAGGGACGTTTGGATCCCTCTGGAAAAAGTAAATTCGGGAGAATTAAGGCTTCAAATAGAAGCAGTCAGAGTTGAAGGCTCTGAAGGATCAAGGGTATGGGAACATCATGTTTCAGTCTGTTTGCTCATTCATATGTGTGTGGATCAATGTTACTGCTATTATCAGTGTGTTGGTGGCTAGATTGTTCTGCTAGACTGTGTCTTGTTTAATTTGGTTCTGTTCCTTTGTTCCTCTTCTTGGCATGTTCAGGCTGCGGGTTCAAATAATGGTTGGATTGAACTTGTTCTCATTGAAGCGAAAGACCTTATTGCTGCTGATCTCAGAGGGACAAGTGATCCGTATGTGAGGGTTCAATATGGGAACTTGAAGAAAAGAACAAAGGTTTGAGCAATCACATTCATAGTGATGATCTTTTTTATGTTCTTTGTGATCTCTTATTACTTTGCTATTGGTCCCAAAAAGAAAAATAAAAGAACAGAAAGAAAGGTCTCTTCTAGATGCTTGCTGTCTTGCCTTGCAGGTTATGTTCAAAACTCTAAATCCCCACTGGAATCAGACCCTGGAATTCCCTGATGATGGCAGCCCCCTACTCTTGCATGTGAAAGACCACAATGCATTACTACCGACGTCAAGTATAGGTGACTGTGTGGTGGAATATCAGAGATTGCCTCCAAACCAGATGTCAGACAAGTGGATACCCCTTCAGGGTGTGAAAAGGGGGGAGATCCATATTCAGGTCACAAGAAGAGTCCCGGAGTTGGAGAAAAGATCGAGTTTAGATTCTGAGCCATCTATAAATAAAGCACACAAAATCTCCAGTGAGGTGAGAAGACATGTTTTCCATTGCTAGATTCTTAGAATTTTTACGAAACGACTTCCAATGTTTTTTTTTTTTCCTGACACTTGTGAGTTTGGTCAGATGAAACAAATGATGATGAAGTTTCAGTGTCTAATTGAGGATGGCAATCTTGAAGGACTGTCAACAGCTATGAGTGAGTTAGAAGCCCTGGAGGATACACAAGAAGAGTACATGGTTCAACTTGAGACAGAGCAAACACTACTTCTTAACAAGATCAAGGAGCTTGGCCAGGAAATTTTTAACTCATCTCCTTCTCTTAGCAGAAGATCTTCTGGAATCTGAGCCATTCTCTTTTCAATTTTGACTTTTAACCAAAATGGTTATTTATGTTGTGTGTGTGTGTGTATATATAAATTAATTCCAGTTAATTAACATGAATACCTTTACAGATAGGGAATAAGTATGTACACGGTGCCCAAACAGTTGAGGTTCATCACCCTAAAGCTGCATAATTGTATATGGGTCATGTCATGTCATGGATGCTTGATCAATTTTTCTGCACCAAATCAAGGCCTTGGCCACTTATTTGCTCTTTTTTTAAATTAAAAAAAATGAGCATTTATTTTTCTGCATAATTGTAATTTTTTTATATTTATATATATGAAATAAAGAGCGTTTTTACTTTCTTTGTTCTGCCAAGGAATTTTAATGAAAATTATTAACACGCATATATATAGTGAGATGTATTTAATATTACTTAAAAAAAAAAAGATAAAAAAGAAAGAAAAAGAAACTCTCAAAATCAATTATCCATGTAATGTAAATCACGAGGAGTGCTCCACCGATAAAATTACAGACGCGCCCTCCCAATCAAATTCCATAGGTATATATATAAGAAAGAAACATATCCGAAATTTTCCCAGAAATATCTTATCATCTTCTTTCTTCCCCCCAACTGTAACTACAGAGACAGTCTTCTTCAACCTCCCGTCTCTCCACAATTTTCTCAGTTCCGAGCAATCAGACAATGTTTGAGATAATCGAACACCACCATCAGCAGCAGTGACAATAAGCTCAATCTACTTCATATTCACTACAATGGCCTTCACAACCGCGAAAATTTCCGAAATGCCACTGAGGAGCTCACTCCCACTCACCTCTCACTCATCTTCCTCTCTCAACTTCCTCTTTTCAGCCTCAAAACCGTCATTTCGCCTCCTTAAACCCTTCTCTTCTCTCAAAGCCACCGAACACAGCGGAAACCCGAACGCCAAACCCTCACACAAATCCAAACCCCCCTCCGCTCCTTGGCTCAACAAGTGGCCCCCTCGCAACTCTCCGGCCGAATTACCCCGCCAAAAAGTCAACGAAAAGGTAAACGAATCGCACGGCCGAGACCAAGCCGTTAAAGCAAACACCACTCGGTACTTTGATAAGAACAAAGGCCAGAGTGCGATTGAGAGAATCGTGCTGAGGTTGCGGAACCTAGGGTTAGGGTCCGACGATGAGGAAGAAGACGACGGTCTTGGATTGGACGGTCAGGATTCAATGCAGCCGGCCGCAAGCGGAGAAGAGAAGCTCGGCGATTTGTTACAGCGCGAGTGGGTCCGGCCCGATTATGTATTGGCCGAGCAGAAGAGCAATGATGAGGTGGCACTGCCATGGGAGAAGGAGGAGGAAATAAGTGAAGAAGAGGAGGTGAAAGGATTGAGGAAGAGGAGAGTGAAAGCTCCGTCATTGGCAGAATTGACAATTGAGGACGAGGAGCTGAAGCGGTTGAGGAGAATGGGCATGGTGCTTAGGGAAAGGATCAGTGTGCCTAAGGCCGGGATCACGCAGGCCGTGCTGGAGAAGATTCATGATACGTGGAGGAAGGAGGAGCTGGTGAGGCTCAAGTTCCATGAGGTGCTGGCATTAGATATGAAGACAGCCCACGAGATTGTTGAGGTTTGTTCAGTTCTTGAATTTTCGGTTTACATGGTGTTATGATCCATTCTTTACATTTGTGTCTACATTGTGTATTGGATGCAATTCTTGCTGAATACAACTTGGAAACCTGTCTTGAACTCAAAAATGAACAAGTAGAGTTGTTGGCACCATTTACTATTACTGTTGTTTATTTCATTTACTTTCTTAATGTAACTGACTGCTTCTAGTGCTGGTCAGCGTCGAACAGGAGGGTTAGTTTTATGGAGATCAGGAAGTGTCATGGTTGTGTACCGTGGGAGCAACTACAAAGGGCCTTCTAAATCCCAAACTGTTGATAGGGAAGGAGGTGCTCTATTTATCCCAGATGTTTCTTCAGCTGAAACTTCGGCAACAAGAAGTGGCAATGATGCAACTTCAGGTCCAGATAATACTGAGAAAGCTGTAAAAATCCCAGCACATCTTCCGAACATGACAGAGGAGGAAGCTGAGTTTAACAGCCTATTGGATGATTTAGGTCCTCGTTTTGTTGAGTGGTGGGGGACAGGAGTACTTCCTGTTGATGCTGATTTACTTCCCAAGACAATTCCTGGTTACAAAACACCTTTCAGGCTTCTCCCTACCGGGATGCGATCACGGCTGACTAATGCAGAGATGACTAATTTACGGAAACTTGCTAAATCACTTCCTTGTCATTTTGCCCTTGGTAAAATTCTCCTTCTGTGTAGTTTTCTTTAGTTTACCACGTCAATATTTGACATAACACTTCATGCTTAACTTCTTGAAGGGAGAAATAGAAACCACCAAGGATTGGCATCTGCTATTATTAAACTTTGGGAGAAAAGCTCTGTGGCGAAGATTGCTGTCAAACGAGGTATCCAGAATACAAACAACAAATTGATGGCTGAAGAGCTGAAGGTCCGTCCTACATTGTCTCTTGTTCTTCACTTTTTGTTATTACTTGATATTGATGTGAAGCACTTTTCCCTTGCATTTTCTAGCAAATCTTAGTTCAGTCTCTTTCTTTCTTTGTCAAATAGGTTTAAAGTTTTTTATTTTTTGGGTTTCAATCTTTTTCTGGAACCTGTGTAGAATAAAGACGAAGGGGCACTGGTTTATAATTTCTTCTATTTTGCAGACATTAACAGGTGGCGTTTTACTGCTCAGAAACAAATATTACATTGTCTTTTACCGTGGAAAGGACTTTCTCCCAACAAGTGTAGCTGCTGCTCTGGCTGAAAGACAGGAATTGACGAAACAGGTTCAAGATGTTGAAGAGAAAATGCGGATCAAAGCAATAGATGCAGCTTCTTCAGGTGCAGAGGAAGGACAGGCACTTGCAGGAACTTTGGCTGAGTTTTATGAGGCCCAAGCCCGTTGGGGAAGAGAAATATCGGCTGAAGAACGTGAAAAGATGATTGAAGAAGATTCAAAAGCCAAGAATGCCAGGCTTGTGAAACGAATTGAGCATAAACTAGGTGTTGTAAGTATTTTCTCTATCCTTCTTTTAGCTTGTAAGGGTCTCACACTCCCCACTCCTTCTGAAGTACACCATTGACTTTGGGCCTCTTTCATTATTGTCCGTATCTCCGGAATTAAGTTTCACATAATTATTTTGAATCTTAAGAAGGCTTGTTAATCTCAGAAAAGGAGAGGCTTGTTGTAACTTGTATATGTATTTAAGTCATATATGCCTATATGTAATCTTCTTAACCCTGTCCATATGTCACTATATGCTGATTTCGTCTTTGAAATTTCTATTTTGTATTCCCCGATATGGTAGACTTTCTGAATCTTGGGAGTTAGACTTTGCGTTATCTGTTGTGTACATCCAGATCCAGTGTACTAGGGTGGTGCCATTTTTTGCAACATATGTTGTCATATCCAAAATATACCATTTACACTCATTAGATATATAACTTAATCGTTGGTTAAAATATGTAAGTAGATTCATAAATATATCTGAGTTTGAGATTCTGAATCCATTGACAGGCCCAAGCCAAAAAGCTAAGAGCAGAGAAACTCCTATCCAAGATAGAATCGTCAATGCTTCCTGCAGGTCCTGATTATGATCAGGAAACAGTCACTGATGAGGAACGGGTTATGTTTCGCAGGGTTGGTTTGAGAATGAAAGCATACTTGCCTCTTGGTGAGTAATCCTTTTTTTTCTTAGGGTGAAGATGGAACTTTGAGCTGAAACACTGATGGTCTTTATCTCATATTGTACCAGGCATACGTGGTGTTTTTGATGGCGTTGTCGAAAACATGCATCTGCACTGGAAACACAGAGAACTTGTGAAATTAATAAGCAAGCAAAAGACCCTTGCTTTTGTTGAAGATACAGCTAGGTTATTGGAATTTGAGAGTGGTGGAATACTTGTGGCAATAGAAAGAGTCCCCAAAGGATATGCTCTAATCTACTATCGTGGAAAGAATTATCAGCGACCCATTACCTTGAGGCCAAGGAACCTTCTAACTAAGGCAAAAGCGTTAAAACGTTCAGTGGCCATGCAACGCCATGAGGTTTCTCTTTTTCTTTTCTTCTATCCCAGTTTTTCTGTTGAATTACATGTCCACTGATATTTCTCTCTTTGTGATGTGGCCTTCACCTCATACTTGATCTTATGTAGGCTCTTAGTCAGCACATATCTGAATTGGAGAAGACCATAGAACAAATGAGTTCAGAAATTGTAAGTGAATAGTCACATTACCTTTTTTTTTACCCCCTCTTGAAAGAAAAAAGAATCTTTTAATATACCCGTGTAGTGATGTGCATGCTCCTATATGTTGCTTAGTTTTGTCTTTGACATTTTTTAAAGCAAATTTATTTGTGCAATATGAGGGTAGATTTTGTGCTTTTGCATGGGTGTTTGCTCATGTGTATGACCATAGTTTTGTTTATTTTGAGCAGGGTGTTTCTGCAGATATAGCTGATGAGAGTACCTGGAGCTCAAGAGATCCCGACCAGACTCATCGTGCCTCTGAATTTGTCCAAGTGAGATATACTGTTTCGCATTGTCATCTATTTACTATCCTGTTTCTCAAATTGTGGGATTAGATGGCCTGGATTGGAGTTCGAATTTTTCTGTAGGACAGCTTTTTGTTTTCCTTAACTATTTACGTAGGATCAGTTGAAAAATTAAGAACCTGTTATGAATTTATGCATCAATGAGAGTAAAATATTTGGTTCTTATCTGCAGAGTGAGGATGAATTTTCGCGCATGGGTTCAGATGGTAGTGACGATGATGAAGGCTTTGATTGGGATGACGAAGATTAAAGAGTTGTGCATTTTGAAAAGTATCTTGAGCAAGAATTGTTGACGACAGCAAAATATGTTATGCTTACGAGAATTAGCCATGTGATGCTAATCATGCTGTGTTGTGGCTTCTGTCTAAAAATGCGAATGTTTATGTGAGACTTGGACTGTGACATAGATGCAATGGAGTTTTTCTTCGAAGAGGATGGAGTTGGCAGCAATGGAGTAAACATTGAAACAGAATGTTATCAATTGAGGCTCGAGAGTGCACGCATCTACTTGTTCTTGGCTTTTAGCGTACGTACAATTCTAATGTATTTTGTTGCTCAACAACATTAATCCAATGTGTCACTAACACCAATTTTCCTTATAGAAGGGCGTCCCATATCGTAGTCAACCCATTGTTTTCATATTTAGGTGATATTGGTTTAGTCTTGTTAACATTTGTTCGCTTCTGTGTCTGTGTATACTACAGTGGATATAGATTTAGCACCTGAAGGTTACATCTAGTAGTTCATTCATTCATTCTTTACATTGTAACTTTCGACGACTGGACTGGGATTGTAATTACACGAAAAGCAGCAAAGCAATGCTCTTGCCAACTAGAACAAAATGACTAGTGCACTGTTTCGTGAAATTGTGCCATCAGATCCTATGAACAACACTTGTACTGGATTGGCCGTAGGTGAGTAGAAAAAGGAAATTCAAGTCTTAAATTCTAAGAAAACTTTGCCGAGTAATTGGCAGCATATTGCCAAAGATACAATTACAACACCTTCATGTTACAAGACACTCTGCATCAACCTCCTCCGCATACAATCAATTAAAAACTCATTGATAAGTAACAAATTTATGTGACATAACTTCGATTGATAAATAGCCCATCGTATCTCTGAGAAAAAAAAAATTAAGTTTAAGCTGTCCGTCCAACTTCCGTATGAAAATTTTCAAAAATTCACACAAGTTTATTGGCGCAATATCTGCTGTAGCTGTAGCACTTGATTCCTTTGCTCTGGAGGCAGGAGGTTAATTTGTTCTGGTGTGAGGCTCATGACCTGTTGAAGCAGTGCCTTCTCCATATCAGGGGTCAACTGCACAATGAGAACAAAAGTCAGATGGCGTGACAGGAAAACTCAAGCTATAAATAAAAGCTCCAGCCAAAGTCAAATATGAGAAGTTGCAGCTATGTTACAGGTGGGGGGCGAGTTGACTGGCTTCCAGGGCCCATTTGACCAGGAACCAACTGTGGTGGTCCTGAACTTGAACTCTCCGGGGGGCCAGACATCCATGATCCTCTATCCACTTGCATGGAAGATCCAGCTTGATTGTTGAACTCTGAACCTAAATGCATACCTCCACCCTGAAATATAAAACCATCAGGCGAGCTCAATTATTATTATCCACCAAACCTGGCATGAAACCCCAATTAGAAGAGCATTAAAGGCGAACCCCAACTCACCAGAAACTGACATTCCAAACACAAAAACGACTCTCAATGAAAGCTCGAAGTGGAAAAATGAAGTAAGACCATGCCCACAAACTAAAATTTTATTCTGGCAACTTTTGAAACATTTCCTATAACCAAGCAACTCCAACCATAAAAATAATGACGACCCTTTTTTTCTTCAATACATGACTGTTAGATACAAGACTCTTAACAACATGCCCAACTTCGCCTATCTTTTGGTGCAAATGGTATTTCATTCCTATTATTGAATGTAACCCATTCACTAGACCAAACATTATTCTTTAATGATATAAACATCAAGAACACAGTTGCAAGGTTTATGCAGATACAATTTTTTTAATTGAAAGAAAAAACATAAACCAAACACATTTACCTGATACAAAGATTGAGGTGGTGGTTGACTTGGAAGTGGTGGCTGTCCTTGGGGAAATGATGGCCCAGCACTAGCAGGGGGTTTTGTACCTGACTGAGCAGATCAGTGAAAAAGAGAATTAGCCCAATCCCATCGTATGTGATACATTTGATAATGACTGGTGAACTATAAACTTCATCTTACATGAAACATGGATTGTGGAAGATGTTGAGAATTAGCATGTTGGTAACCCATGTTTGGCCCCATTTGTGGCGGATACTGGTGATGGAAGTTAGGCATTGAAGGTGGTCTTGGTTGTGGCGGCAATGGTGGTTGCATTGGCATATGCAGAACTCCTGATGTCTGTAATGACTGTTGCAACTGGCCGGAAGCAGTAGGCATTTGGGTTTGATGAAGCGAAGGTGGCTGTGAAGAAGAATGAAGAGGATGTGAGGGTATATTTGGAAGTTGAGAGGACTGTGGAAGCGATGTCGTGGTCATTTGATGACTCATATGTCCCTTAGGCTGCTGTGGCGTCTGCAAAGGGTGTGAAGGCATAGGCTGAGACTGAAGATTTATTGATGAAACAGCAGCTGATGAGCTAGGCATTGCAGATTGGTTTTGATATTGCTTTCTCGGAGGAGCTTGGATCTGAGATGGCCCTGTTTGGTCCTGCAAACCAACTTGACCAGGCGACACGGAAGCAGACTGAATGTTTGATTGCTGAGTTGGTTGTGCAGACTGCTGAGAATGCTGTGATGCTGATGGCTGAATGCTGGGAATCTACAGGCAACCTATGTTTAGCATATAATAGAAACACAAAAACAGAAAAAAGATAAGGCTTCCAAAGACAAAAGCATACCACTTGAGGTGGGCGCACCATTCCAAGCATAATCTGTGCCTGGTGAAAGAATACAAATTGCAGAAATACTGTCAGCATTAATACAAGCAGCTGAAGGTAAAAGGGATAGTTCGCAGACAAAAGCTACTTAAATTAAGAAACCGATTAGAGACCACTAAGCAATGAACTCTCAAACATCATGAGACAAACTCAAAGTCCTGAAGTGATGGATGTAAGTCCCTTGACATGAACAGTAAAATTTTTCAGACAGGCCGTTTGGTAAAAGTTCAGCACTTAGCAGAAACGTAAATCATACACTAACTTAGCACTTAGCAAGGAAACAATTGCTGTAAGGAACTTCGAAACAGAGCTCTTCATATCATTTGAATCCTAATCACACAAAATTTTCTCAACGAAGGCAATAAGGAAAAAAGAATCAAAATTGACACAAACTAAACCTAACTACACAAAACCATATGAATGAAAGAAAAAGTAAGACATTACAAATTTACATATCTAAGCATAAAGGGAAAATCGAAAGATTAAAAAAAAAACCTAAAACCCTAAAGAAAAAATTAGTAACCTGGAAAAGAGCTTTGGTGAGAAGCGGGTTCTGAATGAGGATCTGCCTGGCTTGCTGCTGGTTCTGCTCTATAAGATTCTGTATTTAACAAAGAAAACAAACACGAACATTACTCGTAGGTCTTCTTTAGGTGTTTGGAAGGCAAGTAAATTTTGAAAGGAAAATTGAAGAAAAAAAATTCGAGAGGGAAAGGCAATGCCTTCATTTGAGACATGATGGTGTAAAGCTGGTTCTTCGACATTCCGGCGAAATCCGCCGGTAGACTGTCGCCGGCGAGTTGCTTTCCCGACATTGTGGGCTGAGACTGCAAGACAGAGGAGAGAGAGAGAGAGAGAGAGAGAGAGAGAGAGAGTGTAGCGCGCTTATGTCAAAACCCACAACAACAACAAAAAAGTATAAAAAGAAAAAGAGAGCGCGCTTTAAGAGGGTGCGGTGATTGTTCTTTAATGGGCCTGGGCGCTTTTAAGGACAACTTATTATGTTTGGGCTGGACTCTTCTTTTCTTTTGACAAGTGGACTGGATTATTACTATTAGAAGAATTCTATAAGGTCCTTAGATGAGGACTCATCTCTTAATCGTTGGATCAAGTTGGTTAGTTTGGTCCAATGGTTAAGATATATGGCCTCATCTGAGGGCGTTATAGAATGACTCATTATTATTATTACTTTTTTTTTTTTTTTTTTTTTTTTTTTTTAAAGAGCTCGATTCTTTTTTATCAATAAAATCAAAGAGTTTATTGGTTTGTAACTTTTTTTTTTTAATACGACCGATATTGGAGAAAGAATGATACAAACACAGGACCTTAGATGTAGTCTCTTAACTCCAATTTTTCTTCTTGCAACTAGAAATTCTCGATGAACAAGCGAGTAATTTGTAACAATCGCAAATTTTTCTAGTCAATAATAATATGCCATATCAAGTTCTATACTACTAGATTATGAACCTTTCATATATATATATATATATATATATGTAGAGAGAGAGAGAGAGAGAGAGCCCTAAAGAACAAGGGTTGAGCTGTTTAATTAACAAGGATTTTCATGTGTTGAGATACATATTATATGTAGTGCATACATAATATATAAGAGCTACAAGTTTAACAGAACAACAACAGAGATGACTTGGGGAGTTTTCCCCACCAGCTGACATGCATTGGGCTGGGCCAACTTAACTACTCCGGAACATAATTAAAACCATAAACTAGGCAGTTAACCTTATTTTTCGACATCGATCGATCTACATGAATAGATCATAAGTAGTCGATCCGTGTACTGAGTGAGTCATATATATATATAGTTGCATTTCGTTTACAAGATGTTATATATTTAGGTTATTCATTCGATCTCAGGCCAACTAAAACTTCACCAAATGGAGTCCAAGTTGAATGGTTGCTCCGGATGCTGCTGTGGCGGCACGGCTTCCATCATATCTCTCGTCGATGAAGAAGCTTGGAAATTTGAATTCATATCTGCACTAGTGCCGGACCCAAATTGAGACATTGGCCGCGGCATGCCTTGCTCCATATTAATATTAATATTATTATTATTATATGAGTAAGAGGGATCTAGGGTAGCTGCACCTGTATTACTACTCCTAAGTTGCAATGCCCTAAGAAGCAATGAATTCACCGAAAGGTTCGACGGAGTTAGCAAGTTCGATGGCCAAGGCCACGTTAGCGTCGGAAGAGCGCTTGCAGCTGCCTCTCTTGCTGCGCCCCAGTTCATGTTCAAACTCATGTTCACGTCACTACTATGATCATTAATATTATTATTGTAACAGCTCTGTGTTGAGGACATGGTGCTGATCAACCCACTAGATGAATTTGCAATGTTGTTGCTATTTAGGTTTGGCAACTCGATGTCTCCAAATTCGTTCACGATTGAGTTTGTTTCATCGCATGGGGACTCAATAGATGTCTGCTGCTGCTGCTGTGAGGATGTTGTTGTTTGCTGTGGCTTTTTCAGTGATGTGCTCTTTTGAAACACCCTACAAACCACCCATTCTTCCTGCATATTAATTACATGAGAAAGTTAGAAATAATTAGCCCTCAAGAATTAATTAGCAAATATTAATTAAGTATATGAGTATATGTTGTTGTGCTTATCCAGTTTACCTTTGAGGATTTGAAAGGATGTTTGTTTTCTAGTCTGTATTCGTGCATGACCCAGTTGCTTTTCTCACCCCTGGGAGCTCTACCCTTGTAGAAAACTAGGGTTTTCTTCATCCCAACCAGCACACCTGCTCGATGGATTTCCTTGTCTTTCCCAGTTGTTTTCCAATACCCAGCTTCTGTGGCTCGGTTGGTTCGAAGTCCAGTTGGATATTTTCGGTCTCTCAAGTTGAAAAAGTACCACTCTTTCTCTCCCATCGAAGCCTTGCCTGCACACCACCACATCATTAGTTTGTTAGTTATTAATTTGAAGAAAAATCACCATGTCATCACTTTGCATATCATATTGATGCTGTCAACAAAATCGGAAGGAAACATTCATGCCATGTTTGAAGATACTGTTAAAGATCTTATTGCGTTTTTTTAAAAACAATAAATAGTCCTACTAGCTAAGGAAAGTCCACTAAGAAAAAAATGTCGTGGGAGTTAGTTCTGTCTATGTATTTGGTATGGTTGGTCAAGCAAATCAGAGAGGAAAGAAGAGAGATATAATTTTCCTCATTTCCAGACTCCATATTCAAACACATCAGCAAAAAAAACTAAGAAATATCATGATCATGAAGATATCATTACTAAAAGCCTCAAGGAGTTAGAACGAAAGAAATCCCAGACCTTCCAGCCACACGCGTATATTAGATGAAAATAAGATGTAATAGAGGAATTAAGGCAGATGATCTGGTATGAAGAACACAATTATAACAGATGATGATGCTTATAATTAACTCATGAGTATTAAACTAGCAATATGTATACCTGGGAGGTCCCAAGGTTCACACTTGTTGAGATCAACAACTGCTACAGCTTTCGATGTGAAGCTAACATCAGAAACCTTGCAGCACAGATAGTACGTGATCAGCTCTTCATCTGTAGGATGGAATCTGAACCCTGGAGGAAGACTGTCTTGCATATTCTTAATTTTGATTCAGAAAAATATTGAACCAAGTGGGATTATTTTGATAAGCAAAAGAAAGCAATCAGCAGAAGCAAGTAGCTAGCAGGAATATTTGATACCAGCTTCAAATAAACCCACCAAGATGATGAGGTATTAATGGTGTGCCCCTTGTATTGTGTATAGCTCAAATCTTCAAGAAGAAGCAGCCATAGCCATTAGCCAGTAGTCGTTTTATATTTTGATAATTACAGCTAACACTTTGACAAAGATGGTGATTGGAAAGTACAAATTTTCTTAATTATTTTAAATTACCAAAACACCACTACTATATGTAACTGTGTATGAACAAGTAAGAGGGGGTATATGTATATTTTTTCTGATAGTCGTCTGTAAGATTATGAGATTTTTTATTATTACCAAAAACCCACATAGACCTGTGGTGTGGCATTGACTAGGAATTAGTCAATCAAAGTGGATATGAAGATTGTGTACATGTCTTTTTAAAATCAAATTTTGTTCAATAGATGAGTGGCAATTATTTGGGCACGAGGGTTGCCTTTGTTAATGTCACAGCAGATTTCATTTCATATGTAGATATATATTATTAATTGTTTGTATAATTCTATGATCCAGTCCAACCACCTTCACCCATCTCTACCCACCGAACCCATTTCAATAATTATTTGGCTACGCTACTACTAGAATACTATACTATCCCAATACATGGGGAACATGGCAATCTACATTCCACAGTAACCACCTTTTCATTTATATTGAAATGTGTCACACACGTCTGATATCATCTCTCTTGTGACTGTGGATATTCTTTCCAAATATAGTTACTTGGGGATCGTTTGGGAGTGATTCTGGATAGGCTAGAATCATTTTTGGGGAGAAACATGTTCCCCGTGCTTCTCCGTATCCAAAATAACTCCCAAACGAGCCCTTAATCTACCAAATTAATAAAATTATAATTTAGTAATTATTGATAACACCAAATAAAAGGTATATACAAATTTTGCAGCCTCTTTGTTTTGTCTCCCTCCCCTCCCATTGGCTCTGTTTCCAAATGTACATAAACATTAAAACCTGCTCAAATATATAAAAGAGAGATATATAATATATGGTAGTGAAGATTGCTTGATATGGTGCAGTGCAGTATTTTAATATATTAAGGTGGCATGTTTTGGAAGTGTACATGAATCTTGATATGATTGTTTTGTCTCTGTGGACAAAGAATATTGCATAATTGACAGTTGAAAGATCTTTCATTTGCTTGGCTGTGGGCTGTAGCCTGTGGGCTGTGGGCTGTAGCTTGTAGGTTGCTTATTTATGCACTTTTTGTTAGTTAATTATGATTAATGGGGGCAAAGTTTACATGAGAGTGGTTAAAATGGTCACCAACCCACACGACTGTATCTTGCATGGGTAAGCATTTTTGTTGGATCTCTTTTCTTCCTCATCCTCCTTTTGTCTTCCAAGCTTCACATCAATGTCAATCCTAACTCCAACTTTTCATGTAACATATCTTTCCTGCATCTTTGCCGGTGCTTCTAGAAACAACATCTATTCATCCACATGTTTTTGGGTTGAAAATTTACACCATGTTCATTATACAACTATTTTTTTACATTACCCTTAAAAAAAAGGACGATGCGACTTTTGGTTTGAAAAGATGCTACTTTTGGTTTGAAATCTTGCAACTCCATTCATATGTGCCATAAGATTTGGCTTGTTTTCTCCAAGTTTTTTTTTTCTAATACAAACGATATTGGGGGAAAAGGGATTCAAACACAGGACTTCATATAAGAATGAGGAATGAGAAAAGCCATGAATCGGGGAATTTACCAAGAATTGAGAAAACCATGAATTGGGGAAGTTAGATAGGGAAATCAAGGTATTGGAATTAGATCAACTACTCTCCTTAGTTAATCCCATTCTCGATTTTGAGGATATTCGATTATGGATTTTAAGGTGGAACTCACATAATTTTTTATTCCTTATGTGTTAGTAAGGGAAGTTATGAATTGAAATGATTCCGGTACTCATTCATAATAAGTAATCATATGCCATTAATTGAGAAGGTCATTGTCATTCTCTCTAAGTTTGAGACCTTCATTAAAATAAGAAAATAAAAAATAATAGGGAAATTTGCATAAATACCACCTGAACTTTTAGGCTTGTGTGTGATTACCACCTAAACTTTTAATTTTTACTATTAACTACCTGAACTTTATATAGTGTTGCAATGTACCACCTATGTCTAACTCAGTTAAACTTTCCGCTAAGTTTGAGAGCATTTCGGTCAATTCCATATAACTATAAAATTGAAATTTGTTTAAAACGAACATAATCATATTATAAAATACATAAATAAAAACTTAACCAAAGTATCCTACGACTTCCCCGCACCCCTTCCAACACCAACTATGCCGCACTGCCCAATAGCCCCCTCCCCCACCCTATGCAATGTCTTAATACACCTTAATTCATCTCTCTCTCTCTCTCTCTCTCTATATATATATATATATATGTATGTATGATCATCTACAATATTTGTTTATGAAACATCTCCTACAGCCATATTACAAATACTCTCAATTCTTGTCGAAGGTTACCATATGCCAAACAATATATCTATCTTTTGATCACTCAATTCTTCAACAACCTACCCTAAAGTTATTTTGATTCGGGGGACGGAGAGAGTGGGAGAGGGAGAGGGAGAGGGAGAGAGAGATATATATAATAGGGTGTAGCAGAGGGTGGGTGAGGGAGCTACTGGATACTGGTGGATAATTGGTGTTGGAAGATGCATGAATAAAAATTATATTTATAATTATAGGGTATACTAGTGATTAGCCCCCTGAACTTGTATCTTAGTTTCAATTTACCCCCTATCCTTTTTTTTAAAGAAAATTAAGGATATGAACTTCTTTTTTTTCGCCAATTTCCCCCATGCTGTCTAAATCTGCAACATTTCATCCAATTTGCTGTTAAATATGAGGGCAAAATGGTTATTTTATATGTTAACATAATTAAATTCACAAAAAAAAAAAATGAAATCTAAAATATGAAAGAGAAATTATTTTAATAAAAAAGGGGCCCATCCAACCAATCACTCTCTCCCTCACCCCCATCCTCTCCATCTATTTTTTCTCTCTGACTTTGCCGGCTTCGACGACGGTGGCGGTGCCTTGTCCTTCTTCGGTGCCTGAAATTAAAAACTCTAGATTGTCAGAGACATTTTCACAAACAGATGGCGATCAATCTGGAAAGGAATTTGGTCCGTACCATTGGATCGGAACACAGCGACTGAGAAGGAGAGGAGAGAGAGAGAGAGAGAGAGAGAGAGAGAGGCGGCGACGGCGGAGAGGGAGGAAGGTCTGTTGGGGATGGTGGTGATGAGTATGTGGGTGAAAGAATAGAAAGGGAGCGAAGGAAGGAGGGGTCTGTGGGTTGAAGGGTGTGGGGGTGAGGTTTTGGTCTGGGAGTAAAGGATGGTGGTCAGGGGAATGGGAGGAGATGGAAGGGGTTGGCATTAGGTTTACTCTTGTTCTTCAAGTTTTTCCAAAAAAATAAATTTTTTAAATTATTTAACTAAAAATTGGATGAAATGTTGAGAATTTAGACGGAATGAGGGAAATTAGCGAAAAAAAGAAGTTCATATCCTTAATTTTCTATAAATAAATAAAAAGGATATGAGGTAAATATAAAGTTAGGTACAAGTTCAGGGGGCAAATCACTAGTATATCCATAATTCTATTACTTTTAGAAATTTTAAGTTTTTTAGTTATAATTTTTTTTTTCACAGAAATGCCCTTAAATTTGGCGGAAAGTTTAACAAAGTTAGCAGTATGTGGTACATTGCAACACTCTGTAAAGTTCAGGTGATTAATAATAAAAATTAAAAGTTTAGGTGGTAATTTTGCACATGCCTAAAAGTTAAGATGACATTTATGCAAATTTTCCAAAATAATATTATAAAATAGACAAAGTATGAAAGTACCACTGAATATTGGGGTGAGATTGTATTTGCTCTTAAGGTATTACAATGATAGAATTTTCTCTCTCGAATAAAACTTTCTAACTATCTGATTTCTCTCTCACTTTTTCTCTTCGGATTGATGTATATCTCTTCTTCAGTTGAGGATCCCTTTTATAGAGAAAGTTACAAGAACATAGCAGTTAATGCTTTGCGGAAGAATTGGAGGTGAAAACATTTCACCCACCAAAAACATTATTTCACTTTCATAAATCTACTATTGCATGCACAAAAAGTCTTCCTTGCTACATCCACACACGTTTCACAACAAATAAAAAGATTTTCACATAATGCAATTGGGCTTTCCAATGACTCATGTAGAGGAGAGTATTTGCTATTGGGCTACCAAGAATTGGGTTTTGGGCTTGTGTGCAATCCAGAAATGGGAAGTTTTGGGCTTATGTGTGGGTCTTTGTCAAGCAAAGATACTTATATTTAATGTGATGATTAGATTAATACAAACTATAGTTTAGTACTTAATCTGATGATTTGATTCGTGCCTGCTTGAGTGATCAACCGCTGAGTGGATCAACAACTACAAGTTTGCAGAAATCTTAGTGGCAAAGTTAAAGACAAGAAACAACTAAGAAGATTTCCAAAACAGAAGCTCCAATTGACAACAACCCCATTCTTACCTTTATAAAAGGCTCTTTATTCCATTAGGACTTAGGAGGCAAAGAATACTTAAAACTGCCCAAAATCCACATTTACTTAAATTATATACGATTTTAACTTCTTTTTATTGGGAAATAATATCTTAATACTTCTTTTAAAAAGTGGCATGCATACATGTCTACCAATGCGTGGGGCTTGGTTTTGGTCTCTTCTTTTTATTTTTGATTTTATTTTTGTTTACATTTGTTTATTTGGATTGGATAGAGCATAGCCCCCTTTCTTGTAGAATAGGATTTTCTACAATACAAGGTTTATGTGTTTTTTAAATTTATTTATTAAGATTTATGTGCTTTTAATACAAAGCTATCGCATTATAAATAAATAATTCCCCTTATTTGTTTCACACAATATAAGCACATGCAAAATAAATTGAACCTGTCATTCAGAGAAGAACTTATATTTATGATGTAACGGTTTATTCCCGACATAGATAAGTTTTTCTCATTCATAAGAGGGTTGGGTTGACCTTCTACCAAAGACTAGATTTTCAGAAAGCAATTCAATAAAAACCAAAAATATAAAGGTGTGTATAATTGATAGATTGTGAAATCAATGTACCATGGGAAACTATACTATACGGTGTATGTATAGAGCATAAAATTAATCAGTAATAAGGTAAAGTTGGCACTTGCAATATTGCAGGACACATGGGGCATTTATTGGAAAACAAATGAACCATTTTGACCAACAAGAAGGAAGAGATTTTACGAAAGCAACCAAAGCACACGCTTTAACTTTTTTGAAGGGGCACCACTCCACTTTGCTATTGTGCTTTGTGAAGGAGAGGAGTTGATAGAAACTCATTTTGGAGAGAAAAAAAAAATGCCATGTTCAACAGAGGAAGCACTTGCTAGGCTTTTCTACAATGCCTCATCCTCCTTGCACCTCCTCCTGCTCTTCCTCTATGTCTCCTCCATTTTTCTTGCCAAATTCTTCTACTTTGTTGGCAGCAACCCAATTTTCCCAAGGTCTTAACAAATTAACCTTGCATCGCATGCTACTATACATCAATACCTCTCTTGCTCACTTTGTGTTTGCTTATTTAGTTATTTCCTTTGACATATAAATTACTTAAATCTTCACCCTTTTGTATGCATTAATTTGTTGTATTGCAGAAACCAGAACGGAGACGAAAACTACGTGTTTTCGGAAGAAGAAGAAGGAGAAGAGGAAGAGGAATTAGAAGAAGAAAGGCAGTTTCGTGTTCATGGTCATCAGAGCTGCACAGAAAATGATCATGATCTGGTGGCTGACATCATTCTTGGCGGTGAATCACTGATGTTTTTGCCGAACAGCAACCTTCAGAGCCAGCATCAAACAACTTCTTCTGAAGATCAATTTATTAGCGCCCGTGAGAGCTTAATAATTGAAGACCAAGAAGACGAATCTTTGCATGGCTCACCACAAGTTACAGAATCTGAATATTATGATCATGATGCGGAGGAAATCCCAGTGAAAGAGACCGTTTTGGTTCGCAATTCTCTCCAAAATGATCAAGTGTGGTCCACCGCTCCGATAACTATAGACCTACGCAAAAGTGACTTGCGGAGCAATGCCAAAAATGGTGACCAACACATCAAGCATCTAGGTTTGTTACACTAGCTATAGCTAGTCACATGTTGTACTTGTAATCTTACTTGTACATGTACTCTGCAGCCTGACATTGCTTATGCTATTGATGCAGGTAAATGTGAGAAACAGAACACTGAAAAAAACAAGGCAGTTCAGACGCATTTGCCCGGTGATGAAAATTGTCTAGTGTTTAGGCCACACCAATTGGAGACAAACAAGTTCCAAGTTCAAGAAAGTAATGAGGATGAGATTTTTGGTGACTCAACTGTTGGATCAACTTCTAAAAGCTCTTCTGAATGGAGAAGCTCAATTAATTGCAGGGACTCTGCTACAGAAGATCCATTTTCTTCGTCGTCCAGGAGAAGCTGCCCCAAGTGGGAGTCTTACACTGTTTTTCAAAAGTACGATGAAGAAATGATGTTCCTAGACAGAATTAGTGCCCAAAAGCTCCATGAAACAGGTCATTTTGTTTCTATAGCTATATTTTTTTCTTCTACTTTTTTTAAAGTGGTTGTATTTTTGTTTTGGGAGCTTGAAGCTAATTAATCTGATAATCATGAATGCAATATTTTCATTTTCCAGAATCACTCAGGTCTATTCAAGTTTGTCCAAGATCAATTTCGGAGAGGATAGTTCATAAAATCGCCATGGTAACAAAAAGGCCATTGGACGTACGTCACAACCCTTATCATGAACTGGAGGCTGCTTATGTTGCTCAAATTTGCTTAACATGGGAAGCACTTAATTGGAACTACAAGAATTTCGAACAAAAAAGAGCGTCACACGGTGATTTTGATCCTGGCTGTCCTGGCCAATTAGCGCAGCAGTTTCAGCAATTCCAAGTTCTTCTGCAGAGATACATAGAGAATGAACCTTATGAGCAGGGCAGGAGACCAGAGATTTATGCTAGGATGAGGCTTTTGGCACCAAAGTTACTGCAAGTGCCAGAATATCGAGGTAGTCCTGCAGCCAGATTGTACTTTAACTTCTTTTCTTACCTTTTTTCTTTAACAATAATTTGAATGTACGCGCATCATAGTTAAATTAAAATTGTAATAGTTACATCATCACGAGTAACAAAGAAATGCAAAAGGTCTAGGGATCAAATCAATCAAAGATAAATAAATAAATGATTAATGCCTTGCTTTTTTTATGTTTTAAGCTTCAGAAGATGATGGTAATCAAAAGGATGAAGGTTTTGGCTCAAGAATCTCGTCAGCTGCGTTTTTAATGATAATGGAAGATGGAATCCGAACGTTCATGAATTTTCTCAAGGCTGATAAGGAGAAACCCTGCCAGAAATTAGCATCCATGTTTAAAAGGAAACGAAAAGGTTCAGTTGATCCAACTCTTCTCCATCTGACGAAGAAAATTAATCAAAAAGTAAGTGAATATATTATATTAATCATATCTGCTTAATTATATGTAATGTTATCAACTTATCATATTGGTTCTTGACTTTTTTTTGTTTGTTCCATTGGATGATGAGCAGAAGAAGATGAAAGTGAAAGATCTTCGGCGTTCTCACAAATGCTTGAGAAAAAGAAAGTTGAAGGTGGAGGAAGAGATGGAGATACTGATGGGTCTAATTGACCTAAAACTAGTTTCAAGGGTTTTGAGAATGACAGAGTTAAGTGAAGAACAATTGCATTGGTGTGAAGCGAAGATGAGCAAAGTGAGAATATTGGATGGGATATATCACAGAGATTCCTCACCACTTTTCTTCCCAGCACAATGACCCACAGCTTGCTTTGATGACTAGATCATGACATGAATGTGCACCAGGAGGAGGACTGCACAAACATGAATATCCTCCTAGCTATAGGTACCCTTTTGTATATGAATACATATTATTATTATTATTATTATTATTATTATTATTATTATGTTTATATAATATGATGGAGGGATCCTACAAATAAAAGTAACCACATGGGATTTTGGAGATTTGGAATCCAGGAAGGAGAGAATGTTTAGAGAGAGAGAGAGAGAGAGAGAGAGGATATTGGTTGAAGGTGAAAGATGAGGGGAAGAAAGCAAGGAACATGAAGAGATAGAGACAAGAATAACTTTAGCTTTATTAGCCTTTTAAATTAGAGTTTATCTACAAGGCTGGGATTTGATCTGAATCAAAAGGAGAGAAGACTGAAGAGGAAGAAGGTGTGCAAAAGGGCAAGGCTGCTGCTACACATGCAATGCAGATGCAGTGGAATAAAAAAGGGCACATGCTACACTCAAGGGATATATATATATATATATCTATCTATCAAATTATATGGTAGGCTCATATCATATGGACCCACTTACATGGGAAATGAAAAAAGAAATAAAAGTTAGTCCAATAAATCAGCCGTTTTAATTTAAAGATGTGTACCTGAAGCTACAATGAGATTTCTCGACCTTTTTTTTAAAGTTCCATGGCCTTGTTGTAGTTGGTCAATCATCATGTATGGAAAGGAAATGAAGCATTATCATTTGCACCATGGATGGAAGTAGCTTGATTTCATTTCAGATCAAATACTATAACCCCTTGTTTCATTCAAATGAAGCAGTTTTTTATTTTTTATTTTGACAATGAAGATATTTTAAACTTCTCTAATATGAAAAAAGGATGATCGAATTCGATTCGAGTAAAGGGGGCCTAACAGGCCCGTTAAACTATTGTCTCATAACCCACGGCGTAACAGGCCTTATATTTAGTGTAACCGGCAAATCCTTCAGCCCAACCAAGACATTGGAGCTTTATTCGCAATGTATGGGCCCTGTATGATTATATTTATATATCAGTTATTCTCTTATTCGGATGTCCGCACGTTATTATCATGCGGATTCTATTGTAAACAGGCAAGAAAACAGAGAGGGGTAGTACAAAATACACGGCGTCTGCATGATAATAACGTCCGGATATCCGCATATGATGTGATATGGTATGAGCTCAGCAATTGAAAGGATTGGTGGTTGGTACGTAGTGGACCACCGGCTTCAAATTTAATAGAAGCCAACTTAAGCTTTACCAACTGAACAGCCCAAGGGCAGTGGCCATGTGAAGAAATCGAACGCAAAAGGAAAGCGAATTGGGTTGTGGTTCCCACTTCCATTCCTCTGTCTGCAAAACATCTCTCTCTGTCCTTTCCACTTTGGATTGGAATCATGGAGCCTCCCTCGCTTCATTCTTACCCTTTTCCTCTTCTGCATACCATAAACGTTTTTATGCGTAGCAAACGTGAGTTAAGTTAGTTGATTAAGTTGATACTCAAATGATAAGGCCAGTTGGTCAAACCTCATAGCAAACGTGATATCTATATCAACATCGTCTTATCACATAAATAAAAATTTGTGTGTATTCAATTTAGATTTTAAAAGATTTTAAAGAAGTTTAAAAGTTCAAGTGTATTTAATCACGATTTTTTAAAAGTCTATACAATTCTGGGTGTATTCAGTTTATATTTTTTTAAACTTCACTCGAATTTGGATGTATTCAATCACGACTTTAAAAGACTTCATAAAAACTTGGATCTATTAAAAAACTCATTAATTTTAAAAGAAATATAAAAAATTATGGATTTCGTTTGAGTATAAACTAATTTTAGGCCTTGAGAGATGCGACTTTCCTTGATCATCATCTTGCTTTTTGTACAGAAAAAAGCTTTGTCAAAATGGCTTTTTTTCTTTAATCAGCATACGTGCTCGATGGTGATTGGTCAACTGTGCAGTGAACTACTGTAAATATAATATATGAGAAAATGAGATATTTTCCTTTGTAGTCTTGTGCTAAAACAGGAATTATTTATTTATTGATTGGATTCTTACAGAGAATGCAACGAACAGAGGCTGGAGAGCCGGATCTAAATTTAATTAAACAGCAAGCATACGTGTATCTTGTGGACCAAATCGGTCTCATCGCTCCACCAATCTCGATGTCAAAATGACCCCACAAACAAAGGGCTATCATCGTACCGTCTACAATCGGATAAACCATGCACCCTCACACAGCTGAACATAACTCGTTCTCTGTCCCCTCCCCTGTTTCTGTGAATCATAAATACTCGGCCCACCCAAACCTTATCTCTCTCTCCTTCTCAGACGCCCAAAAAATACTCTGTTTACAGACCTTTATCTTCCCTCAATCTTCTTCTCCTCCTCCTCTCGGAGGAGCCTCCTGTGGCGGCCCAAGGTTGTTTGTTTCTCCCTCTTCTTTATAAGTGTCCTATATCGTAAGCCAGGGGCTTGTTTTATTCATAGATCTGCAAAGTTCTAAGGAAAAACTGAGGATTACCTCATATGCCTTCTGGGTTTGTTTGGTTTTCAGGAAATTTTGAAGCTTTGTTACATGGAAGAACAGGAAAAACATAAATTGTTTAAAAATTATAGTTTGATCCCAAAGTTGTATTTTTTTTTTGTTAAGAGTTAATTTTGATGAAAGAAAATCTGTGTGTGTAGGCGTTGTTGGTGAGATCTCCAAAAAAAGAGACAAAGATGAATAGGTGCGCTTACGAGCAGAACGCCATGGCAGGTTGTGAGGGGATGAAGATGGTGGATTCAGTTGTGTGCCCAAAGCCACGTCGTTTGAACCTCATAAATCCTTCCCTTAACGACTCCATCAGACCCTTCAGATATTTCAAGTATGTACCTTTTTCTCACACACTGTTTTTTTTTATTTTTTTTATTTATAATCACGTTGTTTAGATTTTAATTTATTAGAGTCAAAGGTTGTTCTTTCGGGCTCATGGTTTTCGCTCTTACTTTTTCACAGCCAATCGGAAATCGGAGATTCTCAAGCAGGGTCTGAACTTCTGGATTTTCTTCTCACCAAGGTTCCTCTCTCTCATCATGAAACGTCTATTTTGAGCTAATATTCAATTTTTAATTTCTAGTATTGGGCACTGTATTTGGTTTTTTACGACTTATATTTTGTTATGATTTGACAATCAATTGATTTGAAGTTTGTTTTTTCAACCTTGAATTCATAATTTTTTTAATTTTGTGTCATGTTTTAGCTCAAACTTCCAAAATTGAATTCAAATCCAAGAATAGAAAAACTAATGCTTTCCTAATTTTTCTTTGGTTAATTCACAGGGAAATTGTGAAGAGAGATCCAGTAACCCACTGGCTTCATCGCCACCATTTTTCTGTGGGTCTCCACCAAGCAGGGCATCAAACCCTGTAATCCAAGATGAGCAATTTGGCAACAGCAGCAAGATGGCTCCATTTTTTCCAGCACCGCCGTCTTCATTGTCTGCGCGCAACGGAGGGTGTGTTCGGATGAAATCAGGGGACAAGCCTGCTGCTGTGCGCATTGAAGGGTTTGATTGTCTTAGCAGGGACCGCAGAAACTGCAGCATCTCTGCTGTAGCTTAGGCAGTTATAGGCTCACCCAAGAATGAAGAACCCTGTCTCTCATTATCGAAAAAGCAGAGTTTTGTGAGAGAGGGTGCCTTGGGATCATCATCAAGAGGAGGAGGACGCACAGGTTTTTTGGGGTCTTTGAGTTGAGTGTGTAATTTTTGTATATACAAGTTAAAGTCCAATCTAATGTTATTTCTGCAGAGTTTTTTTGTGTAAACTCAAAGATATGTATATGTAAATTAAGGTGATGGGAGATGTTCCATTTTGAGGAATAAAAGGTCTTAAGAATGAGAGACAGTGTGGGGGAAAGGGGCCAAGTCTTTTCTCCCTCGCTCTCTTTCTGGGTAGAGATGTTTTGGTTTCTTTCATAGAAGTGGTCAGCCATCTCTGTTGGGAGATGGTTGGTATGTGACTTTTGTTTGGGAGGTTTCATTTCATGGGACAAGCTTGTAATCTCCTGCTGAATACTTTTGTTTGGGTTCTCATAATCCTCTGTTTGTAATTGTATTTTGGAGGAAGTGAGGATTGAATCTTATTGGGAATTTGTTATAGATATTATTCGTTTCTGGGTTTTGTGGTGTTTTCTTGTGTACAGAAAGGGCAAATCAAAGTTGATGGGTCCATGAATAAAAAAAGATAAATTATTGAGCAGGGGTGGCTGGCTGGCCTTGTGACCAGACTTAAAGCCAAGCTAAATTACGATTTTAGTAATGAAAAGAAATTTCCAAGTTGTTGTGGAGTTGAAAAGGAGAAGGGATAGAGGGTGATAGGGGTAAGGATGAAGAAGGTGGGTGGAAGATAGGACGACATGTGTGGGGTAATGGGTTTCTGTCTTTGGAAGCATCGTATAACATGTGGTCGTGGATTTGGCCTCGTTGCTTGTTTGTTATGTTTGGATTTACTTCCTGGCTTTGGCTGACTTAGTATTGACGTGGAGGATTGCTATTAGGCTTTTCAATTTTTGAATGGTCAAGGGCTGATAAAGTGACTGACTATTCAAATGCCCTAAATTATGGTGCCCCCTTTTTTTTTTAAAAAATTTTAAATTCTAGGCAATTGTAGTTTGTGCAAAGAGGTGAAGTCCGGTGGAAAACAGTTTTTGACTTAGAGCGTCTCAGGGTAGTCTCCAAATTTTAACCAAATTCTAATTAAAATAGCTTGAAAGTTATTATAGCAAATAACTTACTAAAAGGTGTTTCCTCCAGCAATGTTCTCTATTTTGGCTAATATGAAATATTTTATTATTATTTTCTCTTTATATTTCTCCCCCTCTCTCTTGCAAATCAAATATTTCAAAAAGAAAAGTAGAAACCCAACCCCACCAACCTCCCAAATGTCTCTATCTCTCTACCCCTTTTTCTCTCCTCCTAGCCAAATTCTCTCTCCTCCTTGCTAGATGTAGGAGCCAAAAGTTGGTTCTCCAAAATAGAGAGCCAACTAGGGAGATAAGGATTTTCCTTCTTTTTAGCCAAAGTAGTTAGGAATGAGAGGATAGAGTTTGCTGGAGATGCTTACAGATCAGTGGTCTCATGTTCGAACATGCATGACACCCTGCTAATGTGTGTCATTCCCTTGTAATTTAGACTATTGCTTGTATTTAAACAAATAATAATACTGTTACCAAAAAAAGAAAAAAAAACCTTTTGTAACTCGGGTCGAAGTTATTTGGGTTGGACTGAATTCATATTTTTCCCAACTACATGAAACCCGAATAATCCACCCAATCCGCCCCTAGTTGAAGGGTCATTCGCTGGGCCAGCAGGCAGGTAGGAAGGTGTGGGCTATACTAGGCCGTTCTTTTTTTTTCTTTTTTCTTAATTCAATTTAGGCTACCAAAGGGAGGATATGGATCCTTTATTAGTTAGGCCCAATTTGGTGATATTTTAATTTAAATGACAGTCCCGTGGGAAAACAAAACACCTCCGTCTTTAGAGACCAAAGCAACACACAAAACCCGCTTCATACTTAACTTTCTATCCCAATTTCTCGGAAATCAAATGGAATAGTCTAAAAGCAAAGTATAACATACGTACATACATTCTAATATGTAACTAAGAATACATATCTATGATATGAGTGTGTGTGTCTCGATTTTGAAATAATAATCAATAAATACATTGAAACGTGAAGATTTCAGAAAATGAAAAGTTAAAGTTTTTGAAAAAAAACAAGGGAACTTACAATGACGTTTCGTGGAGATGGAGATGGATCGCACTAATCAATCTTAGCTTGATCCACGCAGAGAGGAAAAGTTCAGTGTAGGAATCGAAGAAAAACCCAAATCCAGGGAAAGCATGGCTTTTCCACTTAGTATTTAATTTTTTATTTTTGGGTTTCTTGAGCAGTAATTGAATAAGAACAGTATAGCCGACCGGCTATACTGTTTAAATATTCGAATATATTTAAAACGTAGAGCTGCGCGGCTATACTATTTAAATATTGGAATAAATTTAAACAGTATAGCCGACCGGCTCTACAATTTAAACCGTATAGCCGTGCGGCTATACTCTTTAAATAGTAGAAGACATTCTAATGGTATAGCCGCGCGGCTATAATATTTAAATATTGGAATATAAACAGTATAACCGCGCGGAGATACTTATTAAATATTAAAATATGTTTTAACGCGTATAGCCGCGCGGCTATACTATTTCAATATTCGAATATATTTAAAAAGTATAGCCGGTAGGCTATACTCTTTAAATATATATATTTTCCCCTTCCGTGGAGGCTGATCTCCGGGCACAATGGTAGCACCAGGATTCCCCATCAATGCAGAAAAACTAATGTGAGCTGATCTGAGAAGTTTGTTGGAGCCATAACTCAAGTGAATAACTATAGACATACTAAGAACCCAAGAACCAGAAAAATCCAACCAAAATCCTGAACTCCAACCACTTATAAACCAGATGATCACAAGGTAATATGATTACTTACCCGGATAGTTGTTCATAAACTTTGCCGATTGGGGCTGCTTCCCCTGTTGATTTACAATTGCTACCTTCCAACGATCAAGAATGGTTACTGCAACATGCTCTATGTGGTGCAAAACTGTGCAAAGGCCTCCTTGTCTCTCCACTGAGCCCAAACCACCTCCCCATGAGAAAACTCTAGCCAGATCTTCCCTGTTCCGGCAGGTAGAATAGCAACAGGAGGAGAGACACAAAGTTTTGCTTTTCTATGGCATTCAGAACCCAACCAACAGCACCATCTCCCCCACAAACAAGAAATCTGAAGTGCGGCACCTTCTGAATAAATAGAGACCCACCTCTGGTCCTTGTGTTGAGCTCAGCTCAAAAATCTACATGAAACACGAAAACATGCAACAATTAAGCAACAATATATGATATATCACAAATATTAATTGATAATAGGTTCACCAAACTCCATAGAAATCAACTGAGGAGAGAGCCCAGCATGTGATGTTGATAATCATCAGCAATTAGAATGTACAGTTAGGACTTCCTGTTTCACTAGGGGGCTAAACTAGCAAATCTTAATTTTTCAATCCCACGGAGATTTAAACCTTAAGCCTTAGTAATAACCTTACTTTGGCTCATTTGAAAAGAAAAGAAGGGAAATCTTTTTTACACCACAGAAATTTCAACCTTAACCTTTACTTAAAGACCTCACTTGGCTAAACAAATGAAGGCAAGTATATTTTTCCAAATAATCAAGATGGTAGAGAAATCAAACCTGAACAAGATTGAGAAGAATATTCAATCGTTGCCTCAGTAAATTCCCACGCTGAGCCCCACTCCTCTTGTTGATAAAAACTAACAAGGGTCTTGCATCAGGTGACAAATCAATCAACTCGTATTTTTGTTTCATCCCTAAAACCTGAGACTCATCCTTCTTATTGCTTGACGAGCTCCTTTTGAAACTAGGCTTAGAATTCAATTTCCTATCTACATCACCATCTTGGTGCTGCAAATCCACGTTTACAGTACCATTACGGTTTTCCTCAATTTCATGAGAACCATTAACAGCTTGATGAGTATCAGCTGTGCTTTCTGTGGACATATCCCCACTACTACCACTATTTCCCGTGTCAACAGAGGTTTCATTTCCATGCTTGGACTTGTTGCTCTGACTCCTAATAGTTGAACGTACTGAAGATGCTATCTCATTGGCCCCCTGAGTAATGGAGCTAAAAAATCCACCAGCGGAAGTCTGGCTCAATTCCTTTCCATGAAGAGGGGATAGAAAGAAATCAACCTTCTGAATGGACCTAAATCACAAATATCACATGTGTCATTGGACATGCTACTGTGGCAATCCACACGTACCAGCCTTTGACACCACAAGCAGCACCATATTGGGGATCCACCAAGAAAAGACCCACTACATGGCTCTTCACAATAGCTGCAAAAAGAAGTTTCATCAGGTTGATCTGTTACCTCATTCCAACGGACAGCCCATTGGTGCATCACATGCTCATACCCCGTCATGGATACACACTTGCAATCCTTGTGCGCACTAGAAGAGCAGCTTAGGCGAGCCGCTGCACCACAAATACTGCAACGGTGACTAAAACTGTCTGAAGCTGTCATAGGCCCAAGAGTTTGAGAAGGGCTCATGGACTTAAAGCATACACAGGAATTCAAGTTCTTTCCACAAGATACCGTTTATAAAACCCAAGTATGAGGAGCTATATTGGAACTTTGTGACGTGCCTTTGGATTTTTCTTTGACCTGGCTTTTGCTTTCATCCAACTTGGATTGATATTTCTCCTCCATTGGAATGCGGAGTAGGCTATAGTAAAAAATTCCAACTAGAGCATCTATAAGGAAAGAGACAATAAAAAGGTGATCAATTGGATTCCTGTTGTTCCAATTGGAGAAAAAAAATATCAATGTGACCATCATCATCCATCCTCCTCAATGACTACTTGTTTGATCTACGTTCACATAAGCATCAAACTGCCCAATCTCAGTTTAATTAGGCTCAAACTCATATATCCTCCAATAAGGCTTCATTTCATCATTCAATAACATTATCAAAAGCCTTAAACTCATTTGACAACCCAACTCATCATCCTATAGTTAATTCATCATGATTAGCTAGATTGATATAAATATAACAAATCTATAAAAAATCTCACAATGCTTTTGATAGGTGCTACTTACTGTAAGCTTCAACCTATAAAAAATCTCATTCCAAAGACAAAGCACTTGCTACCATGGTTAGCTAGATTGATAAATATACCCTTTTTGAGATTTTGACCTGGGATGGCTAGTACTAGTCCAAACGTTTAGTAATCTATATATAATGGTTTCCCATTAAGAATTTGAACTGAAACGATTTGCCTTTATGAGAACCCACTTACATTAAAAAGCGATTACTACTCATTTCGAAAATAAAAGGTCACCTAGTGGACATGCATGATTTCATCAACAATTTCATACTCATTTATCTGATATCGCTTAGTGTCAGCTTGTCTATGTGAAATTCAGATAAATGATCATAAGACAGACCTTTTGAATGGTTATAAGGTATATCATTCATTTCTTTTTCACTAAAGAAATAGGTAAGAATGAGCAAGTGATAGAAATAAACCTGAATAAATCCTCCTCTTTCAATGACTTCTTTGTAAAACAGAAGCAAGTCAAGTGTTGTCTGTCTGAGATCAAAACTGCCCATTGAAAGAAAGAAACTCATATTAATTTTCACATTGAAACAAACCGATCAGAAGAGATCGCCAAGTGAGAATATAAGATAAAATATCTAAACCAGTAATTAGCATTATAATCATGTATCAGCTTCCTATATATTCCACATGCATGAGTAAACCGAAGCTTGAATCAATCTTTTAAACATACTTAAGTAGCATAATCAAGCCAAATATGAATGTGAAATGAGTTATCTGAAGTTTTATGCCCAACATATTCAATGGCACTACTGATTTCTGAATTAGAAGGTTCCAACTTGTGAGTGAGCAAAGGTTCCAACTTTGCTTCTTGTGAGCAAAGATTCCAACTTTTCTCGTCTTTTTCAAAGATTCTAACTTGGCTTTTCTTTTTTCCCACAACTTTCTCAAAACCACACATGGTATATATGAACAAAAGTTAGTGTTCGAAAAATCCGCCTAGGCGCTAGGCGGGAGGACTAGGCGGCCTGGGCGGGTCTGGAGGAGAAAATGCTTGCTTTTCTCTCAAAAATTTAAAAAAGCTTGCTTTTCAACACATTTCAAAAGCTAAAAACATAATGAAATTCCCCTGAAACCCACTTGAACGCAGAAACAGAAAATAGAAGAGAAAACCAAGAAGCCCAAAACTCTAAAAATTAGGAAAACTCACAGAAGGTTCAGCCCAGACGAGTTGTGCATTCGAATATATGTAAACAGGCTATACTCTTTAAATATTAAAATATATTTAAAGAGTATAGCCGTGCAGCTGTAGTATTTACATAGTCGAATACATTTAGAACGTATAGCCGTTCGGCTATAATCTTTAAATGTTAAAATATATGTGAACAGTATAGCCACCCGGCTAGACTACGTAAATATTCGAATATATTTAGAAAATATGGCTATACTATTTTAGCAGTCGAATATATTTAAAACGTATAGCCGCGCGGATAAACTATTTAAATATTAAAATATATTTAAAGAGTACAGCCGTGCGGCTATACCCTTTAAATATAATACTTCCTTCTATGGAGGCTGAGCCCTTGCCACAACAGTAGCACCTTATAATTCAACCTAATCTTGTTGAGAAACACCAAGAGAATATTTCTGAAAGAAAGAAGAGGAAGATACAATCAAAACTTTGATTACTAATCTAAGCAGCGAGCAGCAAAAGGAAACTTCTAAGTCAGCATAAGCGCCATTTCTTGAAGAAGAGCTCGCTTCTGCACAGCACTTACTGCATGGTTGGTCTCGGCATTCTCAACAACATCAGTGATAATGGCAGCATGCTCTATGTGGTGCAAAACTGTGCAAAGGCCTCCTTGTCTCTCCACTGAGCCCAAACCACCTCCCTTCCATGACAAAACTCTAGCCAGATCATTCCCTGTTCCGGCAGGTAGAATAGCAATTGGAGGATGAATTAAGATTAGGTTGGCCTGCTAATCCACCCAACCTGCCCCTAGTTGAAGGGTCATTGATATGGATCCTTTTTCAGTTAGACCTAATAATACAGACGAGGAATAAATCGGGAAAGCATTCGTTCAGGCTCAGTGAAATGCTTTTAAAACTTTTGTCAATTTAGGGTTCACCTTCATTTTTGCTTGTCACACATGATATATGTATTATTTATTCTTTGTAGTTTGAATCAATCAAAATGTACTATTCTGTCAATTTGAAATACATTCTCAATTTTTCATTATCAAGTGTAAATTGTATTATTCCTGTCCGCATTTCTTCTTGTCTAAGATTTGGATTTGTACAAGCCTTCAATCCGTTGTGTGATTCTTCTATACGTTGATTTAGACCTTACTTAACAAAAAAATTTAGCAATTACAAAGCTAGGGCAGCTGTTAAAACCTCACAACAAACAATTACAACTAACTAGAAAACCATGGGAAAAAAAAAAAAAAAAAAAACTATACATGTAAAATCAAAATGACAAATGGTAGCGTCGACTGCCCTTCGACTTATTGCCATCTTCTGGAAGAAGGCTTCAGTGAAGAAGAGCTGTTACTTTTTCTTAAACCTGAAACCAGTAATTCCATTGTGGCAAATGTTAATAATTAATTACTCTACAACATAAGTCTGAACGTGTATTTAATTATCCACTAAGAAAAACAGTAATCGCAGCGGAGAGTGTTCAAAAATACCTGGTGGTACCTTGGGAGAGCCCTTTGATCCTGATGCTGGAGATGTCAAAGGTTGTCCTGGTTTTAGCGACGGTCGCGGAATCCTATTAAGCCTTTTAGGCCTGCACAAAATAAAACCATCTTTCATAATTACAAACAGCAGTTTTATATATACTAATAGTTGCTCACATATGAGGCAGGCTCCAATCCAACGCACACTGAATTTATAGTTTCAAATCTTTGGTCATTCCTTTACAAGGATAGAAAATTTTAATAAATGAACAGACAAGTGTTTTGTTAACCCAATTAAGACACTGTCCAAAAGCACTACATAAAGTTCTATAAATCAGTAGAGGGTGATTTTAATCTGCCTAACAGCATGCAATGCAAGAGAGAAAGCAGTGAGAAAGTAACACACCTTTCCGAGTTATCAGATTTTGCACTTTCAGGGTAATTCATGCTGTCTGCAGAGCCGTCAGTTTCTGTTCCAGCAGAAAGACCACCGTCAGACATGTCACTTAATTTCTCCTCACTATCTGCATCTCCAAATGCTAACATCTCAGCATCTGCATGTTTATTCTGACCTATATCACCTCCGGCAACCTTTGATTGCCGGAGAAAATCATTTTGGTGTTTAATGTCATGCATGGACTTCTGGAGCTCAGCTTCAGAATGCTTATGACTGTACAAAACACACATTTTTCAGGATCAGAAGCTGCCTTAAGTCCTAAGCCTTTCCCACTTAACGGTGTTTGGCTTCACTTAGGAGTAGTCCCGCCTCTAGAAACTCTGCTTGGATGGGAAGATTCATACCTAAATGAGCCTGTCCCACGCTTCTCACCGTGGACATCGTTTTTTAGCAACCGTTCGATCTCGCCATCCTTCTTAGCAATAGTGTCTTTGAGAGATGCCACCTGCAAAGCCAGGAAGCAACAATTTTCTTGTTGATGCATTATTTATTGCTGTTGACTATATATCTCATGCCCAACAAACTAGTTACAATTTTTTTCTTTGATATTTCAGAAGGAATGTTAAATATTGTTTTCTATAACAAGCATACTTTCTCTGTTGAAAAAGGATTTCTTAGCAGCAATCATACATGGTAGTTGATCTGTTTAAAAAGTTTTTGATCTTCAAAGCAAATCAAACGAGTTCACAATGAGGACCTGTTCCATTAATTCTCTAACATCCCTGCCCTCTTTGTTGGTTCGTGCAGCCCCCAGCTCAACTCCAGCAACCCTCTCAGCAAACTTTAGAGTACTTAAACTTTCAGAATATGAACTTGTTTCAGGATTAAGCTGCACAAACATAAGCGTTTTTGCTTGCCCACCTGTTACAAAACACCAGAAAATTCTAGCGCTATATAAATCTTATAAGACTTTGCAAGATGGAAGACAAATCTTAGGGAAAAAAAGAAGAAAGCAACTCTATAGCAAGTCTTTGATTCAATGAAACTAATTAGCAAATAAGTAGTACCGAGAGAACTTTGAAGGACTTGAGTAAGCTTGCTATTTCTGTATGGTACATGAGAGCTCTTTTGTGAAAGAGCAAATATGACATCTCCAAGTGCAGATAGAGATTTGTTTATATGTTGTGCTTCCTTTAGCCTATCTCCAATTACCTCCGAGCGGTCCACTCTTTCGCTTCCCGCGAGATCTACAAGATGAAGATTACCAATCAAAGCAGAACCAGTCTTCAAATCCGTCCCACGTACATGAACAGTAACAACACTGCATACACATATTCAAAGTGAACATCAAACCACTAGAAAATATATAATGTGCAGATAGGTTTCCATCAAGATGAAATGTACAAACCTATGGGAGCGACTACTTCTTTCGTTTAGGGCAGTGGCACTAACAACTCTGTTCTTATGTCCCAAACCCATTAATTGTATCACATCTGAGGTTGATTTGACAGGGTGCATGCTAGCATCTGGCACAGCTAACCCATTCGGTTGAGAGTGCGTCATAATCCCAAGTGTGTGGAAATCAAGGGAAACAAAGGATTCTTACCAAAATCAATGAAACTACGATTTTGACTCACATAATATATTGTTTTAGAGTAATGTGAAAACAAAATGCAAATGTCAACACCATTTTAAGCACAATTCATAACTGCCAAGGATATTTTTTCAGAGAACCATCGCTGGATAGTAAATCGCGCACTTGTTCGTTGTATATTTCAACCATTTGAACTCCAATTTCATAGGTGATGGAGCTTTTTCTACGTTGAGAGATGTCAAAAAGGTCATTTAAGGCTCGATAATTGACCCCCCAGTTCTCTTTAGTTGAGGAATTAGGCCCAGTCTGAGAGGAAACAATAGACATAAAAGATCATCAGCATTCACAACTTTTCAAAATATTGTTGTGTGATCAAAATTAGGATATAACGAGGGTCCGTACCATTGTGTAGGTTTTCCCAGATCCAGTTTGACCATAAGCAAAAATACAAACATTATATCCATCAAGCACGGATCGAATCAACGGTTGGGTGTCAGAGTATACCTCGGCTGCCAACAGTTAAATTAGTTGTATAAGTTTGTCATGACAAAATCATGTTCAAGAAAAAGATTCTCAAAACAGATCAATCAAACAAGTTTTATCTAACATTGAAGACACAAAATGACATATATATAGTGGATAACCTTGAGTTGCATCTGAACCAAAGACCTTATTAAACTTAAACAATCGATGACCCTCTTTCCCTGGTTTGGAGCGGTCTGCAACTACCAGTTCCCCATTTTCACCAACATGTTCTACTGATGTCCGTTTTTCTCTCTGTCCCGGAAGAAATGGCCTTATTCGACAATACACTCTAATGTTTCCTGCGCAAGAAAGTTAAGAAGAGAACTCTAATGCTTTCCATCAGATGCAAGCCAAATAAAGCTAATTTATCTTTTTTGCACCTTTTAGATCCTGAATTTCGTTAAATAGCTTCCTATTTTCAGCAAGGAGTGCATGATAGTTCTCAGAAGCCTCTGCTAATGTTTGAAGCTTCACTCCTGAAAAAAGACAGTTATAAGCCATGAAAATTTTATACCACAAACTGTAGGAAACAGACAGAGTTTTCCAATAGACAAACCCACCTAATTGATTAAATTCAACCGTGTAACTCTGTCCTGCCTTCAAAATTTCGTGCTTAATGGACTCCGAAGATAATCTCAGTTCCTGAATATGTCATAAATTTTCTAAAAATGTATACTATTCATCATATACAATTAAAGCTAAAAATACAATTTAACATAAAAAAATACCTTCAATGAACCAAGTTGAAAATCCATAAAGCTATAGCAAGCGTGCTCTTTCTTGTTCCAACTTTTACATATTGACTCTGCATTTGCCACAAGTTGTTTCGCCTCATTCCTTGAATCTGCCAAGAGGCGTTCAAGTTCTTTTATTCTCTCTTCAAGCTCTGCTTTAGAAAACTGATATTTTGACTCAGAATTTGTCTCAAGCTCATTCACCTTATTCCTTGACTCTGCCAGGAAACCTTCAAGTTCCTTTATTCTCCCTTCAAGCTCTGCCTTAGAAAGCTGATATTTAGACTCAGAATTCGCCTCAAGCTCTTTCACCTTATTCTTTGACTCTTCCAAGAGACGTTCAAGTTCTTTTACTCTCCCTTCAAGCTCTGCCTTAGAAAGCTGATATTTTGACTCAGAATTTGCCTCAAGCTTTTTCACCTTATTCTTTGACTCTTCCAAGAGACCTTCAAGTCCTTTTACTTTCTCTTCAATCTCTGCCTTAGAAAGCTGAAACTTTGACTCAGAATTTCCCTCAAGCTCTTTTACCTTATTCCTCGACTCTTCCAAGAGACGTTCAAGTTCTGCTCTAGCGCCTTTAGCTTCTGTCTCCATTTGCAAGCAACGCAAGTCATATGTCTTTTTGGCTATATCCAACTCTTGCTTTAAACCTGAAATTTCAAGGTTGCTCTGATCCTTCTCTTTCAGCAATCTGATCACATCCTCATCATCGGTTTTCTTCTTTGCTTCCAATCTGGTTCTCTCATTCTGCCAATGGTAAACATTCCCACTAAAAGATATTCTGAAATTCATATAATGAGGAAAGATTGCTAACTGCAGGTGGAAAGTAGCAAAACTATACATATTCTTTCACTGCTTAAACAGATAGATAATCAGGTGTAAAGTAATTTCTTTACATCCGTAATGGTAAAAACTCTGAGGTGAATTTGGCAAGAATGTAAAGGCATGTGAAAAGAAAATTTGGTGCTGCCAATTGGTGAACTGGACAGCATAGCACAAAGGAAAGAAAATAAATTTAGTCTATGAAATATACCTTAATTTGCTGAAGATGGTGGTTCATGACGAGCTGTAACAGAAAATTTTCACTTAAAAAGTTAGGCATTGGTACCGCATCGAAACATTTGTATAGAAAGCTGTCAGCTCCTGGTCTATTTATTCGAATTATGTTTCATACCTGGCTTTCTTCACTTGTACCGGAAGCAAGGGCTTCAAGTACTTTGACTCTTGACTGGTATTTCTCTTCACGAGCCTTAAAAAGGTTGTTTTGCTGGATAAACAAAACCATAAAGAAATTAACACAACATTTCTTAATGAGGTCACAAGTGAAAAATGTTCATAAAAACATATTACAGTTCTTAAATGCTCTGCTTGAGTTGATATACGCCGCTCAATCTCCTGGACAACTTTTCTCAGAAGACAAGCCACACGCTGTGCAACAAATGCAATGTCAGACCAGATTTTTCAAACTATGTATTTCTTGAATATGCATGTACATACTGTATTTGAATACAGGTACTTATTTTTCACAATCATGTGCTTTCTGATTTACATACATGAGGTATTTCACCACTCTTTCTTTCAACACTTTCATCAAGAATTCCATTTACAACACTCAAAAGTGACTGAGTTGGCGCGTTCTGCAACAAGAGATGCTGAAATGCATTAAGGATGCATCAAACTGATGAGATCACAAAACGAAAACCTGATTCAGTTTCCTGGTCCATTGACAACTTACATCTAAACTGTTGGGTTTCATCATTTCTGAAATTTTTGCAGCAGGAAGATCAGCATAGCATCCTTGCTTCATCTGAAACACCTCGTGGAACTTATGTCCAACATGATGCATTAATGCAGCTGATGGCTCTGTGGAAAGTAAATTTGCATCAAACATCAACTGTTTGGATTAAGAAAACAGCAGCAAAAGTTTTTTTTTTTTTTTTTTTTCCAACTGAACCAAACAAATGTATATCAGCCAAACCAAAATTTGACTTGAGGAAAATTAGCACATGGTTTTGATACGGCGCCAAAACTGCTAAAGTGTGCTACATCTCTAATTTCTTTTTGTCCATCACACCATGCTAACTTGAATTATAATTTGAATGATATTTTACTGTTATCTATAAGCCAGTTACCATGCACAACGGATATAATCTGTACAAGAGAATTAACCATACCTGACATAACAGGGCTACGCAATGCGCGCTGGAATTTTGACTCAGAGAAGACCTTCCGCCTCTCTTCCACGGATAATGGAGATAAAAGGCCACGGGTAGATTGGTTGTCAGATTTAGTAGTTGGACTTGTTATAGAAAAGCCATCTCCCATAACATTTGGCATAAACTGTGCTTTAAGTGTTAAAAGACAGTCTGTGACAGTCTTCATAGATCCCTGCATAACATGAATCCGAAAAATGTGGCGCTGAGAGAGAGAGAGAGAGAGACCATGTGGGTGGGAGGGAGGGAGGGCAGAAGAACGTAGATGAACAAGAAAAAATCTTTGTGAGGCAATTACCCAACGAGTACACTATGACTAGTATGTTAAGCAAAAATAACATTCAGTACAGGTATTCATAATGCATACGAATTATCAAAAAATTCTGCTATATAAACTTACACATGCACGAAAAGCATATACTTACAAATTGTTTAAGAACAAAACATTAAAACTGGATTTCAAATGCACATTGCAAAGAAACTGTAAACATACAAGTGATATTGACAGATACCTTCTCTAGGTCCGACATGTCAAATTTGGGAACCCCCAGTACATCCATAGCTGCCAGAAACCTTGCAACATTTTCTGAGGATGGCACTGAATTCTGATCTGATTTACCCCCCTATAATAGAATATGCAAATTGAAAGTAAACCAGACATCCAATCACTAACTTGTAGAATAACTCATAAAGTTAAAAGCAAAAAACGGGGTGGGAAAAGACTATCAATCAACCTCATCCACAAAACCAGGTTTAAGCCTGTTCAGTATCCGACATAAAATGGTACCATCAATCAAGCACGATCTCAAGTCCTCATCTGAAGCATTTTTTGGTAAACCTAAAGTAGGAAGTAAACTATTTAACCACTCCACTAAATATGCTCGCCGCTTGCCTGCAAAATCAATTTCAAAAACAAGAAAAAAATTTAGATTGTTGCACATTAGAGATGTATAGCTGTGTAAATTGGAGACAGCTAGCTTTCCTCGCCTTCAGTCTCACCATTACCATTTACAACTTGTTCTGAACTATCCCTGCCAGCATGAAAACTTGAGCTGGTGACCCCTCCATTTTCTGTTTTGCTGTAACTTGATGTGGAATCCATGATCAGCTACTTGGGAGTGGCATCTAGCTTTGGAGCTCAACTATAAAACTCATGGTAATGGTAAACATTATTTATGTGCCTCTGGTTGGGGCAAGTCTGCTCCTCTTGAACACTAGAGAGAGAAACTTCTATGACTGCTGCACAGCAAGTAAGTGTTTATTCAAAACAAAGTAATTGCATATACTTCTTCTTGAGAGTCGAAAGCTTTTGATGAACTGTTCCTGCCTACATTTAGGAAAGGGGCTGAAGATAAAAAGACAGCTCAAGCTATTTGCTAGAGTTGCCTTTTAATACTTGAATGAAAAGATGATCACTAATGTCTTGTTGCCATGGAATAATATCGGGTACCAATAGTAATCATAATCATAAACATTATATATTTCATACTTCATAATCAATGAAATTGACAAAGGCAAAACAAACCTGGAATGATTTTGATTATAACTCTGAGACAATGACCTGAAAAAGAAGCTGCAGTGCAATTGTGGCGGTCAAGCCCCGAGTTACTAATTGCTGCAGCCTGCATTGCAAAGAAGAAACGAAAATGTCAATCACAAGGCCGGTTTGAAAAGAAAATAGCAATTTCAAACATCTGAGACACAATTTGCTACAACTGCACTCTAGTTACAAAAAAACGTATGCTCAGTAATGCAAAGAGAAAAGTAAAATGGAACAACCACCCTGAAACATTCAACCAGACTAGAACCCAATATGCATTAGAAACTCGGCTCAGCTGTTCATACGAAATGAGTAATGTCGGTGGCAATCATGCATATGCAAATTACGAAATGCAAGAAGATATGAGAACAGAATCTAACCTGGGAAAACTGAAAGAGACGTCAAGCTATGCACGTTGATTAAGGTTAAACTAAGGATTGTCACGTCAAAAAATGTTTTGATCTTTTACTTGAATTTTTTACTTGAAAATTTTAGTTATGTTGTTCAAATGTTTTTTTCTTGGGAATATTGGTTTGTTTGGTCTTTCCGTGCACCGTTGATCTTCCGTGAGAGTTCAGAACCAGTCCGTGAAACTAGGAGCACAACTCTCTCAGCTCTACGTCTCAAAATCCATCAGGTGGGTTTCTGCCACGTGTCCACAACCCGACTGTGACGGTCCGTCTTCTGTGCTAACTCTCTGGTGGTCATCATCAACAATCACACGTTGAAACTGGTCTCGAGTTTTCAACTCCACGGCCCAAATAATTGTGGGCACAATAGTCAGTGTAGCTTAGTGGCCCGTCTAACTAGGCCCAAAACCAACTGGTAGTGAATCTTAAGCCCAAGCACCCAAAGGCAAACAATCTGTTGCAGCTACAGACAGCAGAGCTGTGAAATCAAAGGCAAAACACAGAGAGAGAGAGAGAGAGAGAGTGGAAGAGTGAAAATGGGGAGGAGGAAGGGAGTTGTGGACTTCGACGAGTCGCCGCCGGATGACTTCGATCCGGCGAATCCGTACAAGGACCCGGTGGCGATGCTGGAGATGAGGGAGCACATAGTACGAGAGAAGTGGATCGACATCGAGAAGGCCAAGATCATCAGAGAGAAGCTCCGCTGGTGCTACCGCATCGAAGGCATCAACCACCTCCAGAAGTGCCGCCACCTCGTCCAACAGTACCTCGAGTCGACTCGCGGCATCGGCTGGGGCAAGGACCATCGTCCTCATGAGTTCCATGGTCCGCCTCCCTACCCTACCCTGTCCTCTCCTTTCCTATCATATCATTTCCCCTCTTTTTCTTCATTAATTCACCTTTTCGTTTTCCTTTTGTGAATTTCAGGTCCCAAGGTGGAGGCTGTTGAGGCCGACTGATCCTTACTTCTTTGAGGTATTTGATTTGGACCTCTCAATTTGTTAATGTAATTGCCATTTCTTATTCTGTTGCCGTTTCTTCAAGGTTTGGTGTTGTGTTGCCTCATGGAATTGCAATTTATGACTGTCAAATTCCCTTGAAGTTCCATTTTTTGGGCCAAAATTTTGATCAAATTGGGGACTTTTTGACTTTTAAGTTGAATCCTTGTCGAATTCCCTTGAAAGTTCATTTTTTGGGCCAAAGTTTTGATCAAATTAGGAACTTTTTCAGTTCAATTGGTTTTTTGGCTGCGAAGCTACACTGGGTTTTGCTTGTGCTTTCCATTCTGGTGAGGCATAGGCTTTAGGGTTTTAGATTGGAGTAATATTCAACTCTAGACCTTTCTAGGAAATGAATGCCAAATACTTAATTAAGCATGATAGTAATCACAAAACGCAATTATTGATAGTTAGTTCGGATCACTATTTGCAACCCAGCTTTACTTTAGTTCAGATGATAAATATGAGAACACTTGGAGCTGAATACCAAAGACATGGGTCTGCAGACTTTTGGGGATTTGCCCCTACAATCTCCCCTATTGCTTCATGAGGCTTTTTGATGGAGCCCCTTTGTCCTATCATCCATGTTGCAACCATCAATTAACTAGTCAGGGGGATGTTACATGAATTTGCTATTATGATTTACTGCATATCTAGTATCTTTGATGCATTTTGCATGGCATGCTGTGTCTTGTTGGATTGGGTTGCTTCAGAACTTTTGGATGGTTCATTGAAAGGTCTCAGCAAGCCAAAAGTCTTCACCTTGGAATTCTGATCGTCTTTAAATCGGTAGGTCTACAATAAGTTTCAGTACAGACATAACGTAAACAAATAGATAAGGGTCTAACTTGAGAAAGCAAAGAACTTGATGAATTGTTTTTAAATGTATGCTGTCGTTGAGGCCTGCTGGTATGATGTTGAAGTCTGTAAATCTACTCATGTGATTTTGAATTTGGAGATTGGGTTATGGAGCTAAGAGGTTTGCTTGCCCAATCTTTCTGGCAACTTCATTTTATCTGGAACATTTAATTTGAATTTGTTTAATGACATGAATACTGAGCTTTGTTGTCATCACTCTCCATCCAGATTTAATAGAATTTTGAATTTGTTGCTTGACATGATATGTTCAATGCACGTGCATGAAAGGAGTCTGCAGAGTTGTAATTTGTGGTTTTTTTTATGTTTTCTTCATGCAGGTGAGTAAGTTTGGCGTGTGAGGAAATGCTTGAATGGGAGGGAAGTTGGGGATCACATACATCACGATTTGGTTGCATTGTTGATATTCAGTTCTGTCTTGTCTAGACTTTGTCATACCAGTATTCTCTTTTCTTTCGTGTTACAGATGAAGGCCAGATTTCAGGCTTCGAAAGTGAAGGTGATTTGGACTGGGCCTGTGCCTAGATGAAAAAATAAATTTATCGTCTTTGGCTATGCATCAGAAATGTTTTGCGTTGCTAAATTGATAAGGAAAAACAGTTGTTAACTTTCCAATGCATTTTCTTAAAGGGAATGATGGAGCTTTAGTTATTGTAGCATACTTCTATGGGTACCGGCAATTTTTTTCTTCTCTCTTTAATTTCTATTTTCCTAGGACCCGATCTGCTCATTAGAGATGAAATCTACGAGCGCCTAATGTAAGATTAATGGATATACACCTGGTAAAAATAAATAAATTCAGGCCTAATCGAGAAGGCTTTGGCATATTCAAAGAGTCTTTCCAAAGATGTTTGTAGAAGCTCCAAAGTTAGCTTGTTTAAGATGCACAACATCGGAAACAATATACAATTACTTATGATATTTACATGTTTCTGCTGTGCTTTGGTTGCAATAGTTTGCTATCCGTCACCTTCCATTTACGTGGAGAGAGTGAAAACAGAACAATGGTAAATGGAAGGTACAACGTGGGCTCGGGAGTCCCTTTCCCTCTTGACGGTGGTTGCTTTCTGCAAGGCGCACTGTAAGCCGACGTTGCTAACTTGAGAGTGAGAATGGGTTAACATGGTGATCGGAGAAGAAAAACCAGAAAAGTAGAGTCAATTTCTCTAGATAACTTGAGAGTGAGAACGGATTAAACATCACGGACACCATTTAAGCGTATGCTGGAGGTAAGAATAATATCACCTTCTTCTAGTTAACATGCATGCATCCAATAGATGCTTCTTCCCCCAACGCTCGGAGCTTCATCAACTCTTATTTCTTCGTCTTTCCTGTGTGTCAAGCCAATCAAACCTTATTTTAAAGTATATAGAACTGCATGCATAAGAGTAACAAGTATGAGATTGGATGGAAGAATATGACAATCAGAAATAAATTAAAAGTAGTAAGAAAGAAATTAACGAAAACCAGATATGCAAATGTGATGTGATGAAAGCAGTGGGCGGGAGCTCCCTTCAGTCCAATGGGTGGGCTGAGCGCGCGGAAGGAGTTGCTCCCACACCATGCACCAGGCTAAACCTTAACATTTTCATAAGAATAATTGTGCAGCACAGGCACAGCAGGAGCAGGAGGGTTAATTAGAAATATTAAGGGGTAGCCGAATGCATGAGATGACAGCTCTAGCCACACCTCAGCCCTCTGTATTGGACCAAAAGGAGCTCCCCATGGCCATTGCTCTCTCATCTCTCTCTCTCTCTCTCTCTCTCTCTCTCCTCTGAATGCTAGCAAGCAGCAAGCTAAGCTCTCTATACTTATACAATAGCAAATTAATCCTCCTTCCTTCCCCTTCTTGCTTTGCTTCCTCCTATTCTATATATATATATAAATTGCCTATACACCTATAGCATATAGGCATAGGTAGGTGAGAGTGAGAGATTATGAATCATGGGAATATTCTCAATTCTGATATATAACCTGTTACCTATGGAGGAGTGATGGGTTTGTCCTGTTCGATCAATTGATGTAAGAGTAAGATCAAGGACACTGCGTACGCACGCCACCTCATTGCTCTTTGAATTGGAATATATATATATATATAAACATACGAAATTGAATATAGCTAGATTGGTTTTACTTTTAGTTTCTCTTTGGTGGAAGAAAAGTAGCTTTCTTGAGTTTGTATGAAATCTTTGGATGGATGAGATTTAACACTACGTACTGCAATATTCCCATCACGGCAGAGATCGCAAACATACCCAAGACCCAAGAGGCAATGGTCTTCCCTCATTACTCATGTCTGTTCAAAGCAAAAGCAAAAGA